AATTTCAATACTTTTAAATTTCGTCAAAAATTTGTTATTTAAAAAAAAAAAAAGGAATCTTCGCGAAGTAAACTATTGTAATGAAAAAATTTAAAACAATAATTTATAAAAGTATTGTATTTAAAATTCCATTATCATTTATTAATCTTCCAACGCCAGTAAATATTAACTGTAGGTGAAATTTTTCATCAATATTAGGAATGAAATATTAAAACTTTCCTTCACATCTAAATAAACACAACACTGTCTACGAACGCAAAATTTTACTTTGGAAAAACTGTTTGCTGTTGCTGGCAATTCCACACGTCAGAAACTCTTCTCCACCCAAACAGAAAAAAAAAAAAAAAAAAAAAGAAAGAAAGAAGAGTTAGTAAACTGAAAAACTTGATCAATCAATTTCGCGAAAATTTCGTACGTTCTTGCGTTCATGCAATTTTGAAATCATTACAGAATGATTCCACAATTGTCGAAACCTAATTTCCGTCGAACGAAAGAAACGGAGGAAAGCGAAAGACAGAAAACTCCACTAAAAAACGACTCTCAAAACACACATCCATCTTGACACTACGGCACATCCAAGAAAACAAATATCAATCAGCGGTAATCTATACAGATTCCTTGACTACAATAAACGCGATAACAAACATCAATAGCAACAGAAAGAACGAAGTCATACAAATGATTCAGGAAACGTATACCGAACTTACTAACGACCACAAACATATAATAATCACCTGGATCCCCGGGAATTGAAGGAAACGAACCAGGGAACTGAAGGAAACGAACAAGCCGACTTCTTAGCCAAAGAAGCAACAATCGACCAAACAAAAGAAACCCAACATCCCAATCCCTCACCAAGACCTACTAGCTTCAACCACCAAAGCGGAAAGAGAAGAATGGAACAGAATTTGGACTACGGCAAATAGAACCAAAATACACGACATAGCACACCATTTCTATCAAAAAATACCAAACAACAATCTAAGCAGAAACGAAAGGATAGCTATGACTAGGCTTCGAATCGGACACTCCTCGAATCACACACGAATACCTCCTAACCAAAACAGAGAACCACCTTTCTGCAACACCTGGAACCTACAAATCATCACCCAGCACCTGCTACATGAATGCAGGAGATATCGAAGCATAAGAAGTAGATACGAATTGAATCAAAACACCGCTCTAACCTGCCAGAAACAACAAAAAAACCGTTATCAACTACTAGACCAGTTATAAAGAGTCAATTTCGACACGTCGCTAAAGACCTCGTAGTCGATGCGACGCTAAACTCCCATATGTAAAAAGAAAAGAAAAAAAGAAAAAAAAAAAAACCGAAAGAAGACCGAGCCAAGGTGATCGTGGCTTTCGCGGCTCGCCGCCGAAAAGCTTGGCGGAGAAACTCGCGGGAAAGGAAGGAAATGGCCGCCGCCGTTTGAAACGGGCGAACACGAGGATGAGAGGGTTGGCCCGCGGCGGGGATCCGGTAATTGCGTTATTAAGTTAAAAGCGAGGTACGTCCAAGCGGCCGCGACATCGCCGCCGCAAACTTTTCCATGAAATGCGTACGTACCGGTGGGCCCCCGTGGCTCCAGCAATCACTGCTCTTCCTCCTCCAACCCCTCGAGAACAGCAAAATACAACCGGCCGACGCAAATTCACGGTTGCCGGCCGGTCTGTTTCTGTCCACCGCGACTTATACCCCACGGACGAGAGAAGTTGGCGATGCTGACGGTGCATCCACACTCTCTTTCGACTCTCTCTCTCCTCCGTTGCACGTGGTAGTTTTATATTTCCGAGTCTTTTTATCTTTTTTGCGTTGCTTTCTGAAACGTGTAGCTAGTGTAGCTAGAGAGTTGGAGAACGAGCTCGTGTTGAATCGAAATCACTTTAGAATTCTCTCGCTGTCCAAATTCATACCTCCGTTCTCTATCCGAGCGGAAGCGGCAAACCCATCAATTACTTCCTGAAAAGCAACGACACTCCGCCGAGCGCGAGCAGTTTGGCACGATGTCGCTGTGGACGTGTGAGTAGCAAAGAAAAGAAATGAATGCCACAATGTCTGTGCCACCATCTGTTATTTCTGAAAAGCAACGAAGCAAGCTCCTCCAGCAGGCATAATATCGATCGCTCGTCGTATATCATTTCGACGGATCCTGGCGTGTCAACGGCTGGTATCGCGTCGCGGGATCAAGATCCACGGTGTCTTCGCGGGCGGACGCGCGGGACTTATGCGAACGTCCCGCGCGTATAAGTGGCTGGTGTTCCCACGCTGGAGCAGCCCGGAGGGCTTCCCATTCCGCTATCGACTCGCATTGGCGGGTGTATCATGTGCAGGTATGTATGTATCTTCGTACAGGCAACATGTACAGGGTGTACCCGGTGGAACATATTGGCCCACGATTTCGTGAGATGAATTAACAATGCCCTCCTCTGTCGCTATCAGCGGGATGGAACCGCACGTTTCTCTCTCTCTCTCTCTCTCTCTCTCACATTTGCACTCTATGCTTTCGTCAAATCGAAGGAAAGACATATTTGCGTTTTCGAAGAAGGGAGAACTTGGGAAATTTCAGACTCTAACCCTTTTGGATTTCATTGCTAAGAGATTTCACTTTCTTTATATTTTTGTCATATTTTTTTTATTTTTTTATTTTTTTATTTTGCAGATTGAAGCGAATTGTATGTCGAAAGTTTGACGAATGGGGGAATTTCAACTTTAGGTTTTTCTTTTTTTTTTTTGGCAATATTGTAATCCCTAAGAATAGAAATTGTTATAAAATTGATCTTACCACCTTGTAAAATTTAAACAATGAATGAAAATTTAAACTTCTCAAAGACAAGTATGAAAATTGTGCGAAAGGAAGAATTTTTTTGCTAACTAATCAGAATTCAGTCAGAAGTTATGTCTTCTCTAAGGAGATCTCACGCTATGAATTCTAATAAATTAGATAAAAATCCTCTTTATAAAACTGAGTTAGTTAAGTTCTAACAAATTAAGCTCGAATTAGTAGATTGTACTAATTATTAATAATTATAAATTCCATAAGCTCCAGTCTCGATTTTAACAATTATACATAACTCACAAATGTCAATAATCACAGCGGACAGATAATAAGTTCTAATAAATTCTCACAACTATAGTTAACAGATACCGATAATTAGAACTCACAAGTTTCAATGATTATTGCCGACAAATTCTAATTATAAGCTAGATTATAATACTAACTGGAAGACGACACTAGATTCTAACAAATGACTAACAAATTCTAACAATCCTGATAAACAAACTCTGATGAATCAACAATTGAAACTGTTGTCCAAGGCTGCTCAATATTTCAATATTTCTGTCCATTACCACTGGAGAGGCTTTTGGTTTGAAATTTTTCAAGGAACGTGTTCTCTCTGTACGTTCAGTATGCAAATGACGCCTCTGGCAAAAATCCCCTGGCTCAGGAAAGGACGCATTTTTCCAACGAAAACAAATAAAAAAAAAAAGAAAAAAAAAAGAAAAGAAAAGAAAACGGGGAGGAGGAGAGAGAGGGGTCGTTTAACCCGTTCACCGACCCCTCTCATTTATCGCAAAGTGAAGAGAGCATGCAAGTTACGTCGAGTCTGACACTCACCTCGCAAATCTTTCTTTGTCCTGTACATTCTCGTTCTCCAGCCTTCTATATTTACACCCGCTCGGATCGTCCTCGTCGGATCTGCAAAGATACAGACGTTTGTGATCATTCAAAAAAAAAAAAAAAAAGAAAGAGTATGCTTTCTAGGAGTATGTTTCAGCCGGCACTAACGTGGATTCGTTCAACTCGTGTTGCGGCGATGTTTCTTCTTTTCTTTTCGTTTCCTTTTTTTTTTTTTTTTTACAATTGCCAAAAAGACACGGATGTTTTTGTCCAAACTTAACATTGATCTCTGTGTTTGGACAGAGACTGCATAGTTGTATTTCTTTTAATTATTATTATTCGGATTGTAACGATTTATACATAGAATATTATTTCTGCACTGGTTTCCAGTTTCCAGTGTTAACTAATTGCGCTGGAAATTGACTGCGGACCATAACGAGCGACCGAACCGTACACAATAATTCGTCGCATTCTTTTTTTATTGAACTCGTCGGTACGATATCACTGGATAGAAATTACTGAGAAGTAATAAATTTATTATTCTGCCTGGGTTATAAATATAATAAATATAGTTAAAACTGGGAAAATATTGCAATTTTGAGACAAAAAATTCTCGACGTGCGTGACACGTTATTCTAGGTTAACCACTTGCGTTGGCAACTGATTGCGGACCATAACGAGCGACCGAACCGTATACAATAATTCGTCGCTTTCTTTTTCTTTTGAACAATATCACTGGATAGAAATGATTGAGAAGTAATAAATATATTATTTGTTTCGCCTGGGCGATACCTAAATATATTTAAAACTGAGAAAATATTGCAACTTTGGGACAAAAAATTCTCCATGTGCGTATGCCGTTAATCCAGCGCAAGAGGTTAATTTGTAATGGTAACTGATTGCGGACCATAACGAGCGACCAAACCGCATACAATAATTCGTCGCTTTCTTTTTGAACTCGTCAGTATAATATCAATTGGATAGAAATTACTAAAAAGTAATAATAAATTTTTTATTTGTTCTTTCTAAGTTATACTTAAATATACACTTAAAACTGAGGAAATATTGCATTTCATTCCAGCGCAAGAGGTTAAGGATGATTACACACAGTGTAATCGGAATGAATCGAATATAATAAAACTTCGTTTACACGGATTCCATTTATTTAAAAATTTGGTCGAACGAACCTGTTCTATTAGATCAAATCAAATCAATTTGCATTGCATTCGTACGATATATACAAAATACATTCGTCCCCCGTCGACAAGTCCGTGTAAACGAAATACCATCAAAAAAAAAAAAAAAAAAAAAACACACTGTACAATTAACAAATCGCATTCAATGCAACTTTACAAAAGATTCCAACTTCGCGTTACAAATTTAAAAAAAAAAAAAAAAAAAAAAAAAAGAAAAAGGAACAATAAAAAAAAAAGTAGAATCGAATTAAATGCTGCGAGCGCAAACATTGTCAATGAGATTTAACGTAAATGATTAGAGCGCGGTGTCGAAGAAACGGGTTGAAGGCGCGGGTTTATAAAAAAAGAGATCACAAATGAAAAGACATTTGTTCTATAATGTAGCATTACGGTAGCATATGCAAGCGCATTAAGATTCAATTAATTCAGAGAAACGAATGAACATTGCGCCGAGACATAGATAAGTTATATGGTAGCTAGTTTTGAACGAATGGCAGTATGAATATTCTGTACTCTGCACGTATGTGTCGTAAATGCATGCCTGTAAAGAGACAGAGGGAGCCCAATGATCAATTCATTTATTTATCTTATTTAGAGATGAAATGATATCTGCATTTAAACATCGAATATGTCAGGTGTGTATCAAAAAAGAATTGGAAAAAAAAAAAGAAGGAAAAGGATTTCATTCTCAGTGTTACAATGCAAATTTTTAGACATTCTTTGGAGGTTTGTATTTTCTTATATAATCTTTTAATTGTATTTACATTTTTTCTGAAAGATAAATTTTTAAACACGATTTTACACACGATACAGACACGTGAGAGAAATATATTCGATGTTGACTAGAAATGCGTTTCCACTACTTTCATCTGAAATCAGTATGCTTCCAGAATCGATTTTTAATTTTAAACTCCTCATTTCTGTTCCTCCCTTCTTTCATGATCAGTGAAATATTGTCAGTCATCTTGCGAGCGAACGATAAAGAGTACATGATATTATTAACAATAAAATTATGAATTTGCATAATAAAATTACCAATATTGAATCTACAATTATAAATATGTATATACTTTTTTTTTCTACTGCATGCTCGTCTTGTACACGTGTAGCACGTGATTTAGTAAACGAACTTTGGAATGAACGTAATAATTCTGCACGTTTATAGTTTATTTCGGGAATAATTATTATACTAATATTACGTGTAGCAATAAATTCAAGACAGTTGCTAGTTTACAAAAACGTAAATATATTTTTAAATGATCAAATAATTTTAATGCGCTGATATTATATTGATATGCGATAAGTTTTTAATTGCTCAGATAGAATTTTCGCGATACGTAACGATGTAAATTTATAATGTTATTTTCAGATCACGATATGTGCTGAAAAAGTAATGTAGCGCCATCTGATCAAATCGTTCAAATTCTTTGTGCATGTTTCTTTGTAACCTCCAAAGTATACGCGACAGCGCTTTACGTTGGGGAAAATTACGCGTATTTTAAACACGTAGTTTAGTCTAAATCCCGTCGCTGTCAGGTTAACGCGTTTTGGTTATTATTAACGTGAATAAATAAACACAAAATAAGTTTTACAAGCAGAAGTGAGTAGGAAGAAGAAAAACATCTTTGACAGAAATCCGGAGACCAAAAATTTGTGTTTGCCTGGTGTTAGCATATTCTCGTGCGATGGTAAAATCTCATGTTTTTGTAATATCTGCAAACGATTCAAATCACTTTGTAACTAAATAGGGAACCGAATCAACGAATTTTTATATATTATGATATTAAAACAGGATCAAGTATGATACGTTGATTCTATAAAAATTTGAATTTCTGCTACATCCTCGGCATCAAAATTACTCCGTTTTCTTCGTTGAATACTGGAAAAATTACAATTCACGATTATTGAAAACACATCTCTTATTTTCGTCGATTTTTGATGATAAAAATTATTCCAGTTATTCGTTAAGACAAGCGTATTTCGAAAATATGAGAATCAGAAACTTTATAATTCTGGAGGTAAGCGTTATAACGTAATTTAGCATTGATTGCTTATTGAATATGGCAGAATATATCAAGTGTAATTTATTTTTAATATTTTGAATTTAGATATTGAACAAACGAAATTAAATAACATTGCACTGGAGAAACTGTTCTCGCACTTTCTAAGAATAAAGTATCATTGAAATCTGTATTACAAAAGCAAAAATTTGAGAAACAATGGATACATCTATGAAGGAAAAGTTACTCACTTTTGCAGACGTTATAATTAGAGTTCCACCTTTATTCATCATAGACGAATTACTTAGAATTGGACTTGGATTATCTACTGACAATGTCGTGCTTCATAACAGTGAACATAGTTTTAAAATATCAAAAGTTTCAGATAGTTTTGTGAATTCAATAATACCTACGTCGTTGCTAAATCCATTCGACTTTGAGTATCTTGCTTACAAACTGCATTTTGCAATTGTACTAAAATTTCTGTGCTGTTGTTTAGGTAAGATATTTACATTACTAATAATTTCTATATTTCGTTATTAGTAATTTTAATTTCTACGTGTGTGTTTGTTAAGGCGAAGCAAAGTATTTAAAATAAGAGCAAAGTAAAATTAGATTTATCATGTCATTTAGATTAGAGATATTTTTGATGTTATGCACATTATGTAAGAACATCTTTTAATTGTATTTGTATGAGAAAGTGATTGCAGTGAGAATATCTTTTAAGTGTATAGTTATATATGAAAAAGTAATTGCAGTCTATTAGTCAAAATATAAAGTAGTTTACGATAGATTGAGCATATTTAAGTGACATGTTTATATTCAAAGTAGTAGAATTAATTCCTGTGGGTCACTGCATTTGTAAACAGGAGCAAACTTCATGTTTCATGTATTCATACCAATATATATACATGATCAAGGATTATTTGAGCTTTTACTAAAATTAAAGTAGGATAGAACTCAATAGTTGACTGTTGAATATTTACTTTTCAGGATATCTTGCTGCAATATGTACATTTATGTTATGGACAAAACATCTAATTATTGTATACCTATACTTAATATCAGTAGGGGTAATATTTATTTCCTATTGGTCAAATATTAGTACGATGAAAGCTATCATTACATATGTGAGCACACATGAATCAACAACTAGCATACTTGATGATATTTTATATCTTAACTTAAAATACGTTTTGAATGAAGGACCAGGGTTTCTGATAATTCAGAATTACATATTACAATGCTTATTAGCTAGTATTTTTTATTATATTCATCTTGCACCAAAACATCCAGTTCTACAAAAATTTCTCGTACTGAGTTTTATGACACCATCGATCGTTGGCATTTGTCCGCTTCCGGTAAGTTGAATATAATTGTATATCGATTTAATTTATATTATTAATGTATTTCGATGTTGATTTAAAATAATCGCATGTTCAGAAACGTAGATTTTTGCATGTTTTAACCGACAAGAATTTAAGTATGTATATTACATTATGTTTCTCGTAGATCATGTTCAAATGTCATGTATAAAATACGAATATTTCACTTTAATACGCACATTATTGAACATACATATTTTTCCAGACGCAAGTTCTCAACCATGTGCCAGTGTTCGCAGCGCTTCTTCCGTTAGCTGTATGTAAATTTGTTATTTGGTACCACGGCATCACCGTGCTAAACACACTCTATATGGGTTATCAACATGCGCGTAATTTCATAAGCAACTACGGTTTGTCCGCTCTCGCCGAAACCGAATGGATACGGTTGAACGTTCCGTGTGTATTACGCATGTTCTGGATGCTACGTGTCGGAGCACAAGTGTTTCAGATTCTTGGAAATCATTACGGCGAGGAGACGTTCACTTATTACATAATGCTTAGAAGTTTGTTAGTAAACGGCTGCGAGACCTTGACAGCAGTCTTGGGAATGACTAGCATAATTTCGTTTATTTGCGACTATATCGGCTGTTTCTTTCAATGGGTGTTACTCACGGAAGACGAAGACGAGAAGAGTATTGGTACCGTGTCCGCGATTTTATTTTACGTGCTGGCCCTGCAAACCGGATTAACGAGCTTAGACAGAGAGAAACGTTTGATCAGGCTATGCCGAAACTTTTGCTTATTGTTCACGGCGGTTCTACATTTCGTGCATAACATCGTAAATCCATTATTGATGTCGCTCAGTGCTTCTCATAATCCAGCGCTTCATCGACATATTCGCGCTCTGGCGGTTTGCGTATTTTTGATACTGTTCCCGATGTCGTTGCTGGTATTCCTTTGGACGCATTACAGTGTAAGCACTTGGTTACTGGCAGTATCAGTATTTAGTATCGAGGTGATAGTAAAGGTACTTGTCTCGCTCGCAATCTATTCCCTGTTTCTGATCGATGCTTACCGCAGCGTGTTCTGGGAACAGCTCGACGACTGCGTGTACATAATACGATCCTTTGGCAATACCATCGAATTTGCGTTCGGTATTATCCTATTCTTCAACGGGTTCTGGATTTTAGTGTTCGAATCTGGCGGAGCGATACGCGCCGTCATGATATGCATTCATGCTTACTTTAATATATGGCAAGAAGCAAGAAGCGGATGGAGCGTGTTCATGAAGCGTCGATCGGCTGTTAACAAGATCAATTCCCTTCCGGAAGCAAAGGCAGAACAACTTCGAACGTTAGACGATGTGTGTGCTATTTGCTATCAGGAGATGCATAGTGCCAAGATCACACACTGCAATCATTACTTCCATAGTGTCTGCTTGCGAAAATGGTTGTACGTTCAGGATAGCTGTCCCCTTTGCCATGAGATATTGTACAGAGTCGAAAATTCGCAGAACAATAGAGACAACGACAACGATACCGATACCGAGGAAGATGCACAACCGAACACCGAACATAACCGAGTGAACGAAGACAGGTGAAAAGACGCATAAATCGTCACGCAAATCAACTGATAAACTGTTACGAATTTAAAATATAAAATCGTAAGATATCGATCTGTGAGGGAATCTTGCCTAAAAAAAAAAAAAAAAAAATTTCGTTTCTTGTGACTCGCTCGAATTTCAATGTTCTCGTACGAGATACTTTAAATGTTTTTCTATAAAATTAAAGCTCGTTGGAGATGATAGGAAATTTGATCGTAAGGATAGCTTCCAGCTACATTATTTTGCAAGCATTGATGCAATAAAACAAATACGAATCGTCGAGAAATATTGAGAACAATAAAATTTATAATTAAATAATAAAATATTCGAAAAACAAAAATTTTGAAAGATTTTTACGGAAGGATTTCGATATCCTTTTATAAAAAGTTCTTTAAATTTTTGTTTGTTTCGTAATATGATTTCATTGTAAGTTTTATGTTTTTCAATATTGATGTTTACACAATTTTTTCTTGAAGATTCGTATTTATTGTTGCATTTCAATTTCAATTGTAAGTTGTAAAATTTCAATTTTAATTGTTGAAACGATTAATTGCCCGACTGTTGAAAATACTGCGCAGTCATATTTTTTACAAAAGGCCACTGATTTAGAACGAACATTCTTGAGTATGTGATTTTCTTTTGTACTTTTTCAGCAATGTTCAAGCTTCCGCGCACCCTTTCTGCGTATTCTTCCATTTTGTAACATTCTATTACTCTATAACGGACGTCGATATATTCCATTGGTTTAAATTACAAAGTTCGTATCGCCTGTCCATTAACGTCCATGTCCTTAGATATACGATTAGCCCAACTAATGCCAATTTTATTCAAAACGCGAAATACTTTACTTTAAGCCTCTATTAATAAAAGATGATAATATAATCATAAAATCATTGTAGATAAACATACGTATACAATTATACAAGTACATGGGATTCCAGATACATATTACAAGCTATACGAAGGAACCGTCAGCTTATTTATTGCGTTGTCGCAATAACGAGATCACGAGATTGACGATTCTTGACTTTTTCTGAAATCGATAGAGGAAAGCAACACAACTCGACATTTCGTAGAATCGTATTAGCCCCCAGAGATCAGTTGTGTTACGAACAATTTACGTGTAACGAAATATATCATGTGTAATTTTCTATCTCAAAACGCGAACGAAAGGAAACAATCACATTGGTCAAACGATATGATTTGTTCACATTTCTTGTTGTTTCAATTCGAATTTACAAGCCTCTGTGATAGTTAGACGACAAGCGAAAGGAAAGGAAAATTATAAGTTTTCTAATTTATTGCAACAAAGCATTATTTATTTACTATACGATTTAATAACGACGAAGTTTTGTTTGTAAGATCAAATCATGTCTAATAAATGTTATATTTTTAAAACGTTATCGTTCTTCCAACCGTCCCAACGTTGATCGCCGTTGTCGAGACGGTGAGATTCCGTTGTTCGGTTCACCATGCGAGTTACTGTCCGTGTGTACGTGAAATTAGAGTAACTCCGATGCGAATGATGCAACTAGGTGAAGGGCGCGTTATCATATGTAACCACCGACCGTATGGTTAATTTTAGATTACCTATGATTTCGTTGACTCTTCTCGTTTGATTCAATTGCAGATTAAACGAGCATTGTGTGACAGATACATTTTATAAATATAGTTTATTCACGCAATTTTCGCGGCTGTGGCACCGGTAACGATCGACGATCATGTATTTCGAAGAAACGAATAATAAAGTCGATATGAAAACAGGAGGAGAGAGCAAGCTGTTGAACCGGAGAGAACGTTTTTCGTTTACTTCCCGTTTTCTTCGACTGGACTTGCACGACTGAGAAGGTATGCTTGCTTTCCCAGCCTACGTTCCCCACTCTTCTCCTCAACTTTTTCACGTTGCAGTTGCAGATCTCCGAAAGTCCGCTAGTTGATCTCAGTCTGGTGCGCACCGTCGCCGAGTGAGGGTGTTGATCATTCTCCTCCCCCCTACGGTACATTCTCCGAACGATACAACGAGTCAAGTAGACGAGCAACAGGTAAGCTAGAATAATTTTGTAAATTATATACACATACTATAATCGACGCTGGTGAAACGTGTTTCCAATTCACTCAAGGTCAGGCGACCGTGACTTTTCCCCTATATAGGTCACATTGTGACTACGAACGTTGCGCTACTATTATAATTATTATTAGACGTATGATCGTTATTAAAGTGAATGCGCCAGTGTGTGGAAGTTCAGTGAGATATTTTAAAGGATTTTCAGCTTCTGACATGCGGTTTTATCCAGATGTGTTTGATGCGTTACGTTTACTTTACGTTTATCCAATGCTAGTTAAAAAAAACATCTCTGTCGATATCACTTTTGAAATATAAAGAAATGAAAGATGTATTGTACGACTGAGTACGTTGAGAGAAGAATTGTAAATTGAATACCTTCGGAAGCACGCTCCATCGAACGCGTTAATTAACTTATGATACTTAAAGCACGGTGGATATCTTGACCAGTGACGCAACGACACTGTGCTTCTACGACGTAAAATCGTTGGTACAACGTCACCGTATTTATTTTCCAAATTCCTCGACAAAGTGTAGGCGTCGAACGTTCCGGCAACAAGCACAACACGAAGAATCCTCGGCGTTCCTTGCTGCTTCGCTAGAAAAAAAAAAAAAAAAAAAAAAGAACACAACTCTCTATTTCTCGCGGCGAGAATGCAACTTTTGCATCGTGTTCGCTGGCTGATCGCGAACACTCGTAGAATTGTGGGAAACACTTGCTGGCGAAGTAAAAGTGAAGGAGCAACGAGGCGTATTTCGCAAGTCGGAAATTCGTACGGTGGTTGGTCGTTGACGTAACTCGTTACGAATCGTTGCGCGTTCAATGGTCCATACTGCGAACGAACATCGACGAAATTCTCCTCGTCCTGAGGATTTTTCTCGGTTGTATAGATCAGAGGAAACGAAGGGGACCGACAGGCGTAATAAACCGCGTGGTTGTATCGTACAAAGAGGCACGATCCGCTGCTTCCGCGTTTCTTGCACAGTTATTAATAAAAGCTCGTTTTCTGTGTACACGGCGATCGCAGGCGATGGCCGCTTCTTGAGCGACGCGACCGATCTCACGGCCTGTAATCAGCCGGCAGATCTGCCGGAGAGCTAATTAGAAGCTAGCGGAGGGAAGGTTTCTGTCAGCGTCGTTCAACCTCAAACCAACGGAAGAAAACCCTCGCCGTGGCAACGATAACAGATCGTTACGCGTACGTGCCCTCGATTTTTCTCTCTGCCCGCAATTTCAGCCGCTGTCGAGTTTCGTAATAATTACTCTCAACTAGCCTGAACGAACACGTTCATAGTTCTGTCGAATAATCAGGTTAACGAATTAATTCGGTCAAGTTCAATATGAATGTGAAAGCGTCGACCGTTGTCGCGTGTGTGAAATAATTTTATTTTAGGTATTTTTTTTTTTTTTTTCTCCGTTTCGTTTTTGCGAAAACCGATGGGATTACACGAACGTGTGATTTTTATTACATTTATTGGAAATCTGAATTAAAGGTGTCTGAACTTCAAAGCGAATATTTTGCAAGCTTTGAAAATTTATTTGCGTCTGTACTTGCAGTACATGTTCGAACAAGTTGGATGATTTACACGTGGTAATCGAATCGCAAGGCGAACGCTGTGTCACTGAGTTCTTGCGATAAATTCAAGAAATTTGTACGGGAAAATTGCAGGATTTTTGTAGATATTATTTTTAACAGAAAAGCAAATGGAACTAATAACACTTTCTTTTCTCTGGCGTTACATTTCATGTGTTTGAGTGAAAGATGAGGGAAATTCTCAGTTTACTCGAATATTTGAGAGTTCTCTACGTTACCTTTGGCTGTTGAATTATCAGTGTAAGTAACCCCGCAGAGTTTTCTTTCTTGAAAATACATATTCAAACGCAAAGTAGTCTCGGGCCAAAATCTCAAAGGTTTACCAAAAATTACGAATCTCTCCTCGGTGCCAGCTGTTATGTGTTTTCGCGTTTTTGCGCTCGAAGCTCGTTCCCCGATCGAGGCGACGAGAGAATTGACAAAAAGAGATCGATTGTTCGAAAAATCGAGGAACTTTGCTCTGGAGAAGACTTGGATCTGGTGGAACGGCGGTGGAATAGCAACGCACCGTGACGATCGTGTCGGTTATTGTCGATTGCATCGTGGGACTCGCACGTGCCAGCGCTAAAAGCGCGGCGTAAATAGCTTCCGCGATGCGTGTTGCGGCAGACCGCAAGAAAGAAAACAATTCTATCGTCGTGAACGTGCGAATCTTTCGACGCTTTTTCCCTCCCCGATAGTTTTTCTTTTTTTTTTTTTTTTTCGGTACCTCCGCAAGTACGAAACGCTTCCGCTTTCAGACCGATTGTTGAACAGCGTTGTTGTGGACGGTGCTTAACGCTCCGAGAGGAGAAAGAAGGGAACACAGCGAGAACACGCGAAGCAATTAGTTTCAATCGTTCGAGCAGTTTCGTTATTACCATTTTTTTTTGCGGAGCATTAAAGTCGGTCGCATATAGCGAGGCCTCGTTTTTCCCACGATTACTCGAACGCGTAATCGCGAAGCTTTTTCCACGATAGATGGAGAGAAAGATCGCTGATGAAGATCGATTGATTTTCTCGTGCATTAGCACGGATCAAAGTAACAATTCTCAGCGTGGGATCTTTTGATAACGAAGTCGTGAAGCTTACGATGAATTAAGAAATGTCGATGTCCAGTGATAAATCTGCTAACAATAAGTTGGATTCGAGGGAACGAAAGTTGGATCCAATGTCGATATCTTCAGTGTCTTTGTTTCAATTCTAAAAATGGTCACAGAGCTTGTTCGCAGAAGCACGTGGATTAAGAAACGCGGATCTACGTGTGATAAATTTATTAGGAAGCAGATAACTGGCGTATTTAATTAACGTAACGACGGAAAAATTGAAAACCATGACAAAGCGACTCAACAAAACGACTCTCTTCGTTCCTTTTGATTCTGAAAATAGCCGCACAATGTTTCGTTAATACGATCGATTATCGAAGATTCGGCTCGCCAACAACTGTCGTCGCGGTTATGAAAGAAGGAAAATGAACATATGGCTAGGCGATCCGGAAGCGTATTTTCTCGGGAGGAGAAGCTTAGATCCAGCGTCGAAGATTTTCGGCGTCAGGCAAATGGAGCACGCCGATTTGCCTAACATCGAGCAACTGATACATCCGGAGACATACGAGATTTTCGGCGACGTGGACCTCGAACGCATTTTGTATACTCGATCAACCAAGTCCTTCGAACTAAAAAAAACAATTCTCAACCTGCGACTAACGATCCTCGAGTTGAAAAAGATCGTGGTTACTTTTAGTATCGTAAAATTTTCAACGTGGCTGTTGAATACCTTTTCAATTTCTGCCGCGGTGGACCTCGATTCATTTTCTAAAAATAAAACGCGTTGCGTGCAATCGTTTGTTATCCAGATGGAAGTACAATCGCTTGACGTTAGGATTACACTTTGGAATGCCTGTTTTTTTTTTTTTTTCATCTTAAAAACACGTCTTTTCGTAGATGTGAAATGAATTTCACAGTGGAATTTCTTATTCTAAAAGGGTAGCTATTATACGTAATTTAAATAAATTCTGGCTATTACGCGTAATTTAAAAAAAAATGGTCGGGAAATTTCATTGAATTGTAGCTATTCGTCCGACAGTTTTGAAACATGATAGCAGGAAATATTAATTTCCAGCGAGGCGAGCTGTCTATCAATGGTGCAATGTAACGAGAAGTGCGAGATCATTTCAGGCATATGTCTTTGCAATTATTCGAACGTGCCCTCGGTGGCTCCGGACGATTGGCTGACTTGGTTGTACACGTTGTACAAGTAACGAAAACTATACTACTTCTGTTTCGTATAAATTTCATTCGGTTGGTTGTCGAGGTATCAACTCACCATACGTCGATCATTTTCTATTTACGACGCAATCTAGCAAGTAATTTCCTACGAACACGAGTCGACTGCCGATTTCTATGTGTTTGCGGGAAATTTCAGAATTTGAATTAAATTAAATTTCAGAATTTAAAAAAATGCGTATATACGATATATAAAAAATGTATATATATAAAAATGCGTATATACGATAATATATAAAAAATATATAAAAATATAAAATATATAAAAAATGTATATATATAAAATAATATATATAAAAAATATATAAAAAATGTATATATAAAAATATATAAATATATATTTTTTATATTAATTTTATATATTATTTTACATATTTATATTAATTTTATATATTATTTTAAATATTTATATTAATTTTATATATTTTTATAATATATAAAAAATGTATATATATAAAAATGCGTATATACGATATATAAAAAAATGTATAAAATATTTATAACTTATTTATAAATTTTATATTATAAATCTTTATAAATTGATAAATTTTATTATTTATAAATTTACACACTTTCTACAGTGTATAAAATATTTATAACTCTCTGTAGTGCGAAGTGAAAGTCTTTCTTCAAATCAAAATTTAAATTTAAATCCCTCTCTCTCCATCGAAATCTAAATCATTTGCATAAATATACAAGTCCAAATGTGTACCACAAAGAAGTTAAAATGTTTCTGTGATCGACGAACGATTGATCGAACAAAGGGCCGAAGATGTGACAGAAAGGAATTCGATGTTCGTGCACATCCTCGTCTGGGACAGACGATACACCGGCCATTTCTTCGCGGACCTTCTGACCGGGCTGTTCAACGTCACGTCGTATTTGCAGCACGTGATCCTCGTGATACCTCCTCGGATTATTATACGTGAGCCAAAGATCGATCTCTTGGTTGGCCGACGTGGTTCAAGACCACCGTAGGTGGCTGTAATTTTCCAGCAGGCGTGGACGTGTTCGAACAGCAGATGATCAAGATCCCGCCACGATACTTGACCGATAAGCCCTCCGTGCAGTCGATCTACATGACCAATCGTCACCTAGAAAATCCCAGGCTGAAAGTTCGACGCGTTGTGTGAGTTAAGGATCTTTTGAGTTTGTTTCGTTTTTCTATTGATTGGATGAAAAAAATTGGCGCGAGGTCCAAGCAAGGGTCGAAAATAAAATGAAAATTAAGAATAACAAGAGAATTTTCGAATAAAAAAGAAAACGTTGAAGAAATTAAATTAATTAAAAATGAGAGAAGAAAGAATTTTATATGATCCTAACTAATTAATTGTTCCAATGATTATTCTAATTATGAGGATGTAATAAGTTGAAAATGTAGGATAAAGTCTTTTTTTTTTAAATCAACTTTGAAAATTGAAAAATGCTTCATTCTATATTTTTTCAATTTATTTTTACGTAAGAAATCTTCTTTTTATAAATCATTTTTTATCTTTTTATCATAAAATTTCCATAACTATTCCAAATTGAACTCAAATATTTTAGTGACACATTCGCTTGCTAAAATCGAAATTTTGCTTTCTACGTGATAGAGAAGAGGATAACGACGACGTAGTAACGATCATCGACGCAGAAACGAGTCTCGTGAAAGAATTCTACGGGGAATTCTACGTCAGCGAGATAGTCCGCCATCCTGACAATTGTCGACGATTGATCGTTTCCGAGGATGACGAAGGTTTGGCCACCGGTGTGATGTTTCTGAACAGCAATATCGACCTGGATACGCTCAACGAGAATTTCGAGTTAATACCGTACAACGGTCTCAGAAAACCTCACGAAATGGACAAGTATCCCCCGGAAATCATGCAACCAGCCAGCGAAATTTTCTTCTCCATTTTCTCGAGAACACCTCGCGACGAACCTACGAAAGAGTTAGCACTTTTGATATCTTTGTTTCGAGCTACATTTCTTTTGCATCGTCTTTCTAGTTTGCTAAATTCATCGATATTTTTATGATCGTTTAAATCTATTTATAAATATTGTGTGGAGCATCCTTTACTTTTTGACCAAAGTAAATTTCTTCCTACATTTTTTTTTTCTTCTGAGAAATAAAAAATGTTATTTTGACCTTTGAATATAATTGAACGAAATTCCAGTGGTATTCCAATAAACGAAGTATTTATTGAAGAATTTATTTCTTTTGAAACGTTCACGTGCTCTGAATTTTTGTGCATACGTGTATAGCAATTGTTACTCTGTCATCTCGCCGAAATTTAGGAATACGCCTGTCTTAAATGCAATTCTCTAAGAGTATAAGTAATAGAGGAGGAAAAACATAATCTTCTGGAACGAAAATATTCGAAGCCGTCTTGTCTTCGATAGATTTATCCGTTAGACTCATTCAAGTCCGATACGTTCACACCGTGTTAGATTCTCCGAGAAACTTTCACCGGAAGGGAGTATGGAAGCCTTCAAGGACGCAGACTTTAATACTTCTCGAACCACTGTGACGTCCAACAGCCAACTGTTGTTGGAATTCGAACGACCTACGTTTGCGAAGATATCGACTGATCCATCGTTACTGTTTTTCCTCGATCCGCGATCGACGGTTACCAATTACTATCAGATGAAAGTGATGAGCAGCGCGTTCGCGGAGTCGTTCTTCAGGATTCCACGTGAGTTTTAAATTCTCGACTTGTTTCGAAATAAAATAATAAAAAAAAAAAAAAAAGAAGAAGATAGAAAGTGAAATCAAACGAGATACATTTTTCCAAAAAAAAAAAAAAAAGGGAGAACTGTGGTTATGTCTCGCGAGTTCTTCGAAGATTTGGTGTTCGACAAGATCGACGCCCCTTCGCAGCCAGTTTATCACGGCGACGTTAACGCGTTCGTTCTGGAGATTTTCACGATGAGGGACGAAATGAAATGTCGCTGGAGCAGGAACTTCGTCGAGGCTGCGTTCGAGTGTTATCCCGAAATGGACTACTGTGTGACACTTCTGCCGTTCTCTCATCCTTTCCTCCCCCTTCTCAAACACTTCGTGGTACGTTTCTGCGTTTTCTTTCACGATTCGAGATCCACGTATTTTTAATTTCAACCATCGTCGTTATTGAACTTACAATTTATGTTAATTTCTATTTCTTTAATTTCATATTTATAAAAATACATGGGCGAATATTTATGCAAACTCTTATCTCTGTAAAACGCGAGTAAAGAAACGGTATCTATGTTTTGAATATCTTCTATACATATTTGAATGTCAGTTCAGCGATGAACATATGTAAATTTCATGAATGATAAAACTCTACAGTCTACTCTCTACGTTGCCTAAATCTTCGGAGATCTGATCGTTGGATCGTTAACCTCTTGCGCTGGAATGACGTGCCACGCACGTCGAGGATTTTTTGTTTCAAAATTGTAATAAATATTTTCTCTTAATTGTTTTAAGTATATTTAAGTAAAACAAAACAGGCAAAACAAATAATAAATATTTATTACTTCTCAATAATCTCTATCCAGTGATATCGTACCGACGGGTTCAAAAAGAAATCGACGAATTATTGTATATACGGTGTTTGGTCACTCGTTATGGTCCGCAATCAGTTGCCGGCGCAAGTGGTTCACCTCTTGCGCTGGAATGACGGTGCCACGCATGTAGAGTTTTTTGTCTCAAAATTGCAATATTTCCTCAGTTTTAATTATATTTAAGTATATATATATATATACCCAGGCAAAACAAATAATAAATTTATTACTTCTCAATAATCTCTATCCAGTGATATCGTACCGACGGGTTCGGAAAGAAAGCGACGAATTATTGTATATACGGTGTTTGGTCACTCGTTATGGTCCGCAATCAGTTGCCAGCGCAAGTGGTTGAAAAGAAATCGTTTCACGACTAAACCAGCAGAGTTCGTACCACTGGTTAAACTGGTACCACTTGGCAAAATAGCCAAACAACGAATAAATAAATTGACGTGCATTTAAAAACAAAATCGGAGACCTGTTGACCATCTTTTTTGAACAATGCACAGCGCGTGCCGTTGAAGTGCAACAAGGATTATCCGATGACCTTGTACGTGACGCATCGTGCCGCTCTTCTGGGCCAGATAAGAATCCGAGAGGCGATGTTCTCCGACAGGGAGGGCGTGCTGGATCTTTTGCAAAGAGTTCCAAAATCGAAACAGGTTTTGATGGACTTCGACGCCGCGATGAACCGAAAGCCATCAGGAACGCGGTGTTACGTGTTTCAATGGAACGACATGATTGTAGGCGTAACGATTCTTCGGTAAGCTCGGACAGTATATTTAAATACGGTAAAATTCTGAATTCTTTACGAAATTCTTTACTTGCGGTGAATACATCAGCGCCGAGAATGAAGTCACGTACGTCAGGCGGCGTTATCACGTGGAAGATTACATCGCGGAGATGAATATACGTGGCGACGCGTACGGGCGTATTCTACATTTCATCCTGATGCCGATTTTCTCCGTTCATCTGCCCTACTTCTTCTGCGAGATCTCCCGTTTCAGCGGCATGATCGTTCTTTACTATCGTCTCGCGGAAAAAGCGTCGAGCGCATTGGTAAACATTCCTCGCGACGGAACTGGCACTTTTCGTTCGAAAGGTCTTGGGACGTTTAATGAAAATGAAAAATGAAAATTGACGAATTAATGAAAATTGACGAATTAATCTTTCATCGATGAGCGGAAAGTAACTTTCGCCCAGAAGTTTTATTTGTAGACGGCCGCAGTGATTTACGTCAGTTTTTTAACACCTCTTGCGTTGGAATGACGTGCCACACACGTCGAGAACTTTTTGTTCCAAAATTGCAATATTTCATGAGTTTTAACCATATTTTAAGTATAACCCGGACAAAACAAATAATAAATTTATTACTTCTAAATAAATTTCTATTCAGTGATATCATATACCGACGAGTTCAAAAAGACAGCGACGAGTTACTGTGTACGGTTCGGTCGCTCGTTATGGTCCGCAATCAGTTGGTCCAGCGCGAGTGGTTAAAATTCGTGGTATTTAATATTTTATTTTGTAACGGGGATCGTCGATGAGGTATAATTAAATTAAAAGTAATTTAAATCTAAATTACTGTAGTTTCGTCTGAATGAAATCGATATCGGTTCAGTTGAAGGATCAGTATATAAGATTTGCAAAAATGGTAAGAAAACAGAAACGTACCGAGTGTGTACGTGCAAATATTTAAACTTTAGCGTCGTCGGTTATCAGCGTCATCGATTGTTACAGCGTTCAATTTAATTTTCGATATTTAATATCTAATTTCATAGTAAGCAACTATGTTATTCATTCACAGAGTAATACAGTCTGAAACAGCAAAAACCGTCCAAAGATTTCTCGACGACGGTTGCCATTTAAAATTCACACGCGCGACGGTGAATTGCGAAAACGATGAGGGATAATAATTTCTAACGTTTCAGACTCGTACGCATCCCCTAACGATCTGCTTGAACTCGATGATTCCCGTGAAACCTCGTAAAAGAATAGAATACAAGTATTACGGTCTCGTGGAAACTGACGAGCCCGACGAACAGAAGGACGAGCCATTTTCGCTTTTTATGACGACACCGAGGCTGGCGATGATGCCGAGGTCGATCATCGATTCGAAGGTGGTCGTGGTCGGCGCCTCGGATTGCGGCGTTGCGTTCGTCGAGCAGCTTGCCTTTGGGTAAACGAATTGAAGGAAATTTGGAAGAAAGAGGTGCTACTCTCTCTCTCTCTCTCTCTTTTCTCATTCAATTTAGACACAGCTTCGTGCGATTCGCGAACATCACTCTGATATCGCCGAACGGTTTGCCCTTCGAAGAGGAGGATGAAACGAGCGAGCGTTTGCTACCCTTCAAAGGTCGATACTGTCGAAAATATCGTCGACTGACAGGCGCGCGTTCTTGGATTAATCTCGTATATGGAACAGTGATATCGATTCAGAGGTGACGAGGAAACGAACGATGCATCGTGCATCCATAGCGATGATGCGTAGAAGTATTTGAACATTTCTCAGAAATGAAACAGAACTTTTACGAACATTCGTTGAAATTTTTTTGTAATTTCATCCAAGTGGTCCAAATGACCAATTTATCACTTCTGATGGAAATTTTATAGATACAGAACAGTGTATTTTTAAAGATTTGAATTACTCTTGAAGTAAAATTGCTTGTGTAATTTGTTGTATTATAAAGTTAATGTCTTTGGTGGAAATTTTATGCTTCACACGTCGGTAGTTTTAGTATTGATACTAGAGTGAGCAATGCCATGATGTATTTTATTAATACACGATTATATTGGTAAAATTTAAAAGTGACTAAATAAGATTGAAAGTTTTTAAATTAAAATAATTAAAAAATTGTACAACCTTGACATTATAAAGTTAATGTCTCTGATGGAAATTTTATGCTTCACACGTCGGTAGTTTTAGTATTGATACTAGAGTGAGCAATGCCATGGTGTATTTTATTAATACACGATTATATTGGTAAAATTTAAAAGTGACGAAATAAGATCGAAAGTTTTTAAATTAAAATAATTAAAAAATTGTACAACCATATACGCAATATACATACCACGTAATAACTATATTTCTATTTTGATAAAAGATGAAAAATTATTCTTTTTGTAAGATTTTGCCAAATTTAATATTGCAACTGGCAACTTCAAAGTGTTTTCTATCTATTTCATTCAAAAAGAATCGTGCATTTAATAATTAATACATACTAATGGATGATTTCCAAATTATTGTGACTTTATTGATTCAAATACTTTTATGATCTCAGCATAAAATAAATATCTCCGCACCTTCTCCGTGACAAAAATCTCGATCTTGTTTCAAACTTTATCAATATGATCACGATGATCGTGTTTCGTTCAATTCAAATTGAATGAATCTCAATTTCAACATACGTTTTGTACAACACGTATGAATGAGTCACTCTCTGCGATCGATAGGAAAGAAAAATACGTGACAGTGATGCACCAAGGGAACATTACGTACGATTATCTGATTCTCACGTGCGGGATGCAGTACCAGCGTCCTTGGTTTCAAGACGAGCTGGAGGAACAAAGAAGAGGGTAAACCGAGCAAATGAAAATTCCCCGAAATAGAACAAACAACGACCATAATCTTTCTCCTTGCGTAGAGAATTTTTGGAACACGAAACACCTTGGAATTGTTTGACTATCAATGACGATGCAGAAGCAGCTATCTGCCTGGAGAAGATCAACAAGCTGACGGACAATTTGAAACGTGAAAGTTGGTCGTCGAGATTAGATTCCACAGGAAATTGGAAATCGAAGAGTTGATATGCGATGTGTATCTTTCCAGAGAGAATTATTATTTACGGGCACAATATCGATTGCTACTGCGCCCTTCAAGGACTGCTCGAATTTGGGATAGAGGGATCTTGGATCACACTGATCCAGCCGCCGTTGCAAGAATGCGAAACTCACGAAAGTGCCTTCTTCGATAACTGCGAAGTACAAAGAGAATTTCCTCTTTTTCCTCGTAGGAATTTCTATGGATCTCTCTGACATAAGCTCTGTATATTAGACAATCATCATCCTGAATTATTACACCCTTTAAATTATTTTTATATCTCGTCTGCGAAGGCATTCATTTCTAATATTTTTAATTCAATTTTCATTTCAAAATTATAAGGAAAAAAACCTTCATCTCCTCAAGGATAGGGTTTTCAAATAATTCGAAGGAAATGAAAAAAAAACTAGTATTTCTTGGACACAATAATTCTTTCTCTCAGAGTCACACAAAAATTTCACAAACAAGATTTTCGGGGAGTTTGACACTCAGCAATTTGCAGTTCAAGCTCAACATTTCAGTATTTAGAACCCGAAAGACAGCCGAATCGTGCATTAACAATTATTCATTAAAACTCGTAACTCGTCTCTGAAGAAACGCTCGTCGGTGCGTTCAAAGGTGTACGCAGAGGTGATGAAGTCGATTTCAAGGAGCAACATCGAGATACTCGTGGGATGGGAATTGACCGATTGGAACCTAAGAGATTCGTTAGATGGAAGAATGATTGAAACGATCGTCGTCCGTTTGAAAGGCAAGCTGAGAACGCTGGAATGCGACGCCCTGGTAAATTTTCGCGAGAAGACCATCAACATGACGATATTCTTGGGTGACTGCCAATGCTCGACATCAACGGAACAATAATCGCGTGATCGTCGGCTATGATTCACCAATTCCATCGGTTTCAGCGATCTGTAAGTCTGGGTTGATGTTCGACGGCCAGTTGATCATAGACACGGAATTGAGAACGAACGATCCGTCGATATTCGCCGCTGGTACCATAACCAAGTATTGCAGGAGGTTCTACTCGGAGATCTGGCAACACGTGCATTTCAATAGCATAGAGATAGGCGAGAAAGTTAGTAGAAATTTCTCTTGTATTGGTAAATTTTACAAGTCACGAGTTATATCGTTGGAATCGTCACACTCGGATAACATTTTAATGCTAAATTTTTATTTTATTAAATTAAATTGATATTTGATACTATACGAAAATTTATTCTCGCTGTACGAAATTGAATTTTACTAAATTTTCGCTTCTATTTCATACATCGAACTTTACGTTGAATTATTCAAATTGTATTTATTATAATTATTATTTATATTTATATTTATTGTAATTATTTATATTTAATTATTCAAATTGTATTTATTATAATTATCATTTATATTTATTTATATTTATTGTAATTATTTATATTTAATTATTCAAATTGTATTTATTATAATTATCATTTATATTTATTTATATTTATTGTAATTATTTATATTTAATTATTCAAATTGTATTTATTATAATTATCATTTATATTTATTTATATTTATTGTAATTATTTATATTTAATTATTCAAATTGTATTTATTATTTAATTGTAATTATTCAAATTGTACTTATTATAATTATTATTTATACTTATATTAATGTTTATTTATATTTGTTGTAATTATTTATATTTAATTATTCAAATTGTATTTATTATAATTATTATTTATATTTATATTTATTTATATTTATTGTAATTATTTATATTTAATTATTCAAATTGTACTTATAATTATTATTTATATTTATATTAATTGTAATTATTTATATTTAATTATTCAAATTGTGTTTATTATATTGCAATTATTTATATTGTCACTAAATTTATTACTTGTCGTACAATTCATCAATACTTGTAACTCGTAACTTGCGATTCATAAAATCGTGCCGACAATATTCCACTGTGAACAACTCGAATCTTCAAATCGAACATCGTTGATGTTTGACAGTTGGCGAGGATTCTTCGATCGATCATCGAAAACGAACATCGAGGTGTCGAGACGCCGGAGGAAGCGCCCGAAAGACGCAAGAAAGTTTTGGCAATACCCGTGTTTCGAACACCAAAAGTCGTGGCCTGTACTTTGCCCGGTGGTTATCGGTATCTTTACGTGGGAAAGCCTGGGAAACACATGATGCGACGGCTTGCGATTCATTATAACATTTACGTGAGTTTTCGCTGTAGCCTTGCTCCTGAAGTTTCGTGACGAAATTTTGTTCGAACAGTGTCGTGTTTAGGGTCAAGTGCTGGTAACTGGATCGTGCACGTCAGACATTGGTTACTTTCGCATACGATTGAATCGATTCGACGTAATAGAGACAGTAACGTGTTTCACCAAACAGGTAAAGAGGCATGATTTCTACGCTTTTTGAACAGTGGTAATTTGTTTGGTATCAGTGTAATGATTGTTTGGTACCTTAGAATATCGAGGTTCATCATATGATCACGTTGTATGGAAAGCACGAAAGCTTGCTGAACGAGTTGAAGACACGCTTTGAAGTAAAATTTTTCTTAATTTGTAAATGTATTTCAGGCATTAACCCTTTGACAAAATAATTTTCTCTTTCTTCAGATCTCTTGCATTTTTTTTTTTTTGAATAAAATCGTACATATTTCAAACTTGATTATTATTAAATCTGTTTTTCATCTGAAAAATGATCGTTTCTTTCGGGCTATTTTGCAAGTATCGATGTCAAAAAATTGGAGATGGAAACTTTCAGTTTTTATTTCCATTCCTCAATGTTTCTTAAAGATTGCGTCATTACTACATTTTTATTTATTTTGAAAACAAAATACCATCCAGAAAAAAAAATATTTACTTCTATCAACGACACTGTCAAAGGGTAGAAATTACGAGCAACGATCTTGAATAATTTCACCGTGACAGAAATCGCTGATCGCCGATTTTTACGCGTACTTCCGGGAACCGTGGGCAATGGCGGTCTTCTACGATAGATTCGAGTGTCTTCGAGTGGAGAATCGAGCTACGCTCCTGTCGAAAACGGTGAGAGTGGGGGAAATAAAAATAGTCCACTTGACGATCGAAAGCCGAATAAACTTTTTCTCGCGATAGGCAATTCCTGGCCAGTCCTTGGTTGACGATTGCATTCGTGCGCTAATGAAATCCGAATGGAACGTGGTGAGTCGAGAATTTATATATTATAAATTCATATATAAATAGACCGCGGATTTTTTATGCAAATTAATGTTCTCGTATAATTTTCTACATATCATACCGACAAGTCCTACGAAATTAAAATGAAAGAGAAAACACAAATTTACATAAATATTCGCAATCTAGTTCTTCGTCCGAAACTCATCAAATATTATATTGTGACGAATCTTCAGTTAAAAGACAATGATCGTCAAGCCATCCAATCGAGATTCGCTGGTTCGGTGTATCAGCAGGAAATCGAGGGAAATTTGCTAGACTTCCTGCAGTTTGCCGAAGAGGACTTGCCTGTTTACTGCACACCTGGAAAATTACGCGAACTATATCTAGACATCGAGAACAGTCCTCTATATACTAATTTGTAATTAAAGAGACTCGTGAAAATGTTTGAAACATTTACGACTATGTTACGTGTTGTGTAAAATATTTACAAATTTTCGACGAAATTAAGAACGTACGTAGCGTAACGTATATTTCAGAGAGATTGCAAAGATATTGCGATAGTCCATTAAATTAATAAACGTCAATGCATAATGGAATCACTTTCGGTGTCGCAACTGTTGCACGATTTTTCCAAATGGAATGAAAAACGTTTAAAAAAAAATGGCCAATTTCGTGAAACATTTTTCACGAAAAAAAATCTACCTTCAGCTTTGTATTTTTCATCCGGCAAATTTTCCATTTGATTTATCGTCAGAAAAAAAAAGAAGTCGTTTATAAAAATACAAAAGAAGGCAGCAGTTACGATCGATATTGAGATATTTATACTTTTCAGCGAAGATTGTAAAATAAAAAATAGTTTGACGTCAGTCAGAACATACAACGTAGAAACAGCATGCTCTGTTATCACAATATTACGTGCATTTGAAAAGTATACGTTCAAGACAATACTATCCATAGCATAGTAATTTTCTTATTACTCGTAACTTTCACAAACATTTTCAATTATACGTTATCAATACATAATCGTGTCTCATTGTAGCGTTAATGAAATTTCAAAGGTTCTTTTACATACACGTGTGTGATACAGTTCCAAGGCAGATTCGTATCGAGGAATAATACTGTTTATGTGTACAAACATTCTGTTCAGACTTGTGAACTCAGTCTCTGAACACAATCTCGTTAAATTAATCCTGGAAAAAGAAAACGTAAAGATAAAATTTACATAAATATTTGAATTATAGCGACAAGAATATAAAGAATATACAAAAAGAAAACATAAAGATAAAATTTACATAAATATTTATAAAGAATATATAAAAATATAAAGTATGAAGAATATATAAAAAGAAAACATAAAGATAAATATTTACATAAACATTTGTTATAGTGACGAAAATATAAAGAAAATATAAAATATAAAAAATATAACAAATTAATAGAACTCTGTTATGTTCGTGAAATATATGATAAATACTCTGATACGCGTCACTTTGGGATCTACGATTGATCTCTTAATTTTTTTTACGCTTTCACGGCCGAGACCGCGTCGGCAAGCGAGCAAAACGTCTCTGACTTTGCCTGATGGACTTTACAATCGTCTCGATCGCCTCTGTCCGTGGCTATTTGCCTCGGCACGTTGCGATCCGATCTCTGGGTCAAGTTTAACATTCCACCGGAGCTGCTCCATAAACATACGGCTCAAGGCGTTTTACTCGCCGCCTACGCGCCGTGAAACAACAAATACGCGTCACACTGTGAAATGTCACGGCACGCCTTTTCAACGCGAAATTGTCCCTGCCGGGCTTATCAGCTTCGGCGGATCGCTCGGATCGCGGTTTAGAGAACAGGATCGCCTAATCTAAAAGAGAAAGTAACCCGACTTCGGCTCGACCTGTAACACTTACACGTAGGAAACGTGATCGCGAAATGGAAGTTCCAACCGTGCATGCATTGTTTCGAACAATCGTTACTGTCAAGTAACTTTTTTCTTGCGTCAGCCGAGCAAATGGAATTAAAGAGGAATCGTACACTGATTCGATTTGGACTTTCGTGCAAGGTATTCCATTGTGTTGTGCGCTTGTTGCAACGTTCCATTCGCACGCGAGTTTTACAAAATTTCTTAACACGCTGCAAGTTTTATTACTAATTGTAAAAAAAAAAAACTGCTATCTAAAAACTGTGATTATAAAACTAATCGATATTTGATTACTCTAATATTAGGTAAACTATTACAGTAAAATATTTACTTGCGTTGAACAGTAATCGCATTATAAATATAAAAAATATCGCTTCGAGTGTTAATGATCGAATCTGTAAAAGTTCATGTCGACTGACAGTCAGTCAAACAAACTGAACTCGCAATAAAAGACCGACTCGAAATTAAAATCGCTAAAAGGATACAAGCGACGTACATAAAAAAAAAAGAAAAACATCCCAATGACACGTAAAAAACAATTCTCTACCTGTCACGACCAATACATTCGCTGTATTATTCAATAGTTGTATGATTTAAATAAAGAATGACGAGCTGATTTATCAGAGAAGCGGCCAAGTACTTCGGCGGCTTAATGGACCGAGTGATTCAGAACCGGAAGCAAAATCGGTATAATTAACCGTTTTGGCAAGGCGCTCTGCCACCGGTGCTTTCATTAGATCGGCGCATCCTATCAAGGCTGAGCCTCTCCTACGTCTGTGCATCCCATTTACATTTTTATATCTCGCTACGCGAGTAAAATCAATTGCGACAAAGGCAGGTAGGAATCAGTCGCGCGTGAACCGCGCGCAGGAACGTTCGTTCGATCGTTTTTTTATCGGCTGGGGCGACATCCGTTTCGCGAAGATGAGCGCACCGAGGACGCTTCAGTCCTACTTTTACGAGAGGAAGTGCTATCTGTGTGAGAAACGCGCCGTTTACCCACCGGATCGCGATGTCGTGAAAAGAACGACGCACAGGGTCCGATTCACCGAACCGAGTAAGTGATTGAACATTCAGATCCGACGAGCACATCGGTCGCGTGACGTTTCACCGCGCGTTATATAGTTCAACTGGGTCAAGTCATAATTTTGAAATGACAGGAGATGGAAGAACGCTATTAGAACGAACGAACGAACTTCATCTGGCAAATTGAATCGTTGTTGCTCGTTATTTGATCTTTTACCAGTTCGCGCTAATTTCGCTCTTGTTTCAATAAGGTAGAGTAGTTGAGGAGTATTTTAAGAAACGTGTAAACATTTTGATATGATCAAATTGATATGACGCAAAGATTAAACTCGAGAAACTTTTCAATAACAGACAAAAAGAATTGGGCTGAAAACAATCCAAATAACGCGGCAAGTTTGAGTAATTTCGTCTGAAAATGGAGTGTTTTGAGATTTTAACGTCGTCTCTATATTTTGTTTTTAAATTGAAAGCGGAGTATTCTGTAGTATCTTTTTGAAAGTGGAGTGTTTTAAGATTTTGACATTGTCCTTATATCTTTTTTTAAGGTATAGTCATATATTTTTTTTTAATTAATTATGTATTTTTTATATTTTTTTAATTATATTTTATTATATTTTATAAATCGATTTTTCGGGTTTTTATACTCTATAAAAATACCATTACGCGTGTGAAAGTATTTTAACTCGAATTTCATAAGATTTACGAAAGATGAGACACGCTCATGTACCGTTCAAATAAAACTAATAATTTTTAAATACATCAGTACTTTATACGGAGTAAAAAAAATATATTGACAAAATAAATGAAAATACACGGCTCGATTTAAAAAAAAAGATTCCGAAATTTTTAAAACACCTCCATTTCCAAAGACACACGCACCATTTAATTTAATTTTATCCATTGAAATTTTCGTTCTCTTCTCTTCTATCGCAGTGGATAAAACTTCCACGTATTCGCTTGTACGTATATACATATTTATATATTTGTACGTTATGTATATTCACGATTGTCATATGTTTGGCGACGAGCGTAGTTTTGTCCATTTCCCTCACTTTTTTTTCGTTTGAAAAAAAAGATTGCATCTATGGAAAAAAAAAGAGAGAAAAATCGTGAAAAAATGTTGGAACGAAACGAAATATTTGAACGTCGTCGGAGAAGGCGACAATACGACCTGATTCTTCTTATTCCTGTTCCCGTGTAATCGAGTTTTGAAATGTATCCAAAAGCAGAGTCGCCCCTGACGTTGGGTCAATGTCACGCTATTCTCGTTGCTCGTTCCGTCCTCCCAACATGCGTGGATTTCACAGTTGTTAAATCTCGTGGCAGCAGAGATCGTGCTGAGTTTAACCAGAGACCGTGTTGCTCCAAAACTTTTTAACCTTTTTTAACCTGTTAACGAAAAGAAAGAAAAAAAAAAAAAACGAGTTAACTTGTTACGTAGTTTGCCATTCTCTTGTATTTGGCAATGGTAACTACACTACTGATACTTGTGTAAATTCATATTCTTACGAAGGGATTTGAAAAATAATTAATTTATCTATTAAACGTACTGTCAGACGCAGTAAATTACTTATTAAATATTATTACTGGATTGCGGATTTCTATGCATTTCTAAATCTTTAGAAACGTAATTAAAGAAACAGGAACAAATACTTTCTTTCATATATTTTTTGCATCTCCTCTTTCATACATGCACAGAAACTCACAGTATAATTATTGTGGCGTTTCTGTAGTTTCAAATTTTGAATATTGAATCATCCTACTAGAGTAAGTTCTTCTCTTCAGAGGATTATGTCTGAAACAATGGAAATTGTCACTATGAAAGTTTTATGAAGTTAAAAAGTATATACATAACTTTAGCTTAGGCTAAAAGATTATAAACAACGTTTGTATCAATTTCCAACAGTTTCTTAGTATACAGTAGCTCTGAAGGGTTAATTTTTAATTTCGTAATTACAGTGACTCCCACTTCAGAGAGATCATCCTGCTAAAAAGATATCGTGAATTAATGCACGATTAAATAAGCAATTCGCGCGTTCTTGTACCATAATTGTATGACAGATGCAAAACAACAAAGGCGCGTTTATGCAATATCGGCGTTATTATACAACTATTACGATTACCACGCCTCCGTAACATAACTTGCGAGCTGGTGATAATGCGAGGCGCGTGAGTTACGTAACGAAAGTCAATTTCAGACAACAAGTCGGTTCTCGCGCTTTTTATGGTATATCACCATCTGTTTGTTCTCCATAAAAGGGAATATTCAAGACCTACATATATTCGCGATGCGCCGCGCTGATTCACGCTTCTTTTGTCGCGATAATTCTCGCGATTTTTTTCTCTTAATCAGGAGGTCATCCCGGCGACCTTGCGTCGAACGTGTTTTGCATCGATGATGGTTTCCTCCTCTTTGCAGATAAGATGCTGCGATCTGCCTCGCCACAGTATCCCAGCAGAGGATCTGACATTCGAGTGATTCGTCTGACGACGGATCAAGAAGCTGTTCTCCAAGAACAGTTCAACAGATGGCCGAGAGCACCTCACACGGCGGATGTCGTCCTTTTGGCAGCGGAGACTGGACTTTCCGAATCCGACGTCGAGGTCTTTATCATTTATTTATTTACCATCCGAAAGAGAAATACAATAGAGCTTCCCAATATATCTCGACACTGAAACGTTTTATCATTCGATAACGTTTTCTGTACGGAATATTTGTTACTGATATAGGCTACGAATATCAGCTATAACAGCGTTCATAAAATTTAACCATTGGCAACTGTAAATTAACAAATAACTTGTACACTTAGTTTTTCATAATTTTATAATTTTTTTCCGGGGTAGATCATAATTTACCAGTATTTTAACAACAAACTCCATTTGCATTCTCGGATATTAAAAACAAATTAACAATTATTCTCGTCTCTAATTGAATAAATAAAATTTAATACCGAAGAAAACAATTGTTCTATTATCGGAAGTTCTACCGTATTTTGACAATGCTGTCAGATAAGAGAAAATCACAATTTCACATGTATGCTTGCACCTTCTAGGCTTGGTACGCTATACGACTAGCCCAGTGGAGGAAAGAACAGGGCCTGGGAGGGAATCTTGGTCTACATTAACGTTTAACATCGAGGTATCTCGTATGTTATCGTAACTGTGTACCTGAAAATGTAATAACTTGTAAGAATTGCCTATCAACCTGACAACGATCTATTCTTTATCGATTCTTCCGTTGCTTCTAGCTTCCAGCGACTATACTAATTTAACGCTACACGATTCATATTTATGTTAATTGTCATTGTGTAGCGAGAGTTAGAGCGAATTGTTAGAAACAATGGTACCAAACGTTGATTTTTAAAGAGTAACTGTGAGTAGAAAAATGTACATTAGAGAGATAATCGTAGTTGTCGCAACGATTTACAATTACTATATCATTATTTATTCTAACTTTAAAGTACACGAATCTTTAAAATGCTCGAATTAGATAAGCAAAAAAGAAAAACTCTATTTCCAAGTGCCTCGACATTGTTTAATCGTAAGTCATGCAAAGAAGACATTACCAGCGAGTATTAACCATAGTGTACGTAAGACCTGACCGCAGAACGAAATGTATTAGTTGTAACGTATCAGGTACCGCAGACGTATTTTAATGCTTTTAAATAGATGTACTAAATAATTGTACAAAACACACGGATTCAAATGGAAATGTTTGTATAACTCAGTTACTTAAATAAATGTTACGCAAAGAACGTCAGCCGTTGTGAATTTTTCATCGTGGACGTTGCTTTATTGCCAATGTTACGTACCTGAGGTATACATAATGTTTAAAATGAGAACTGCAACGATTGAACAACTTTCTGTAAAACAACATGGTCACTCGTATAAAATGTACATATTTCTGATATACTGCTTTCAACGTAGCAAAAATTAACAGGTAACTATAGAACCGTTTATCTAATATTGGCATCTTTTCCGACCGCGTCTTTAATAGACTTCAGGCCGTCCTTTTTCAACATATCGTCCAATTCTCGTTTGATCTTTCCTATAACTGGTGGCCCCCGATACGTAAACGACGTGTAAACTTGCACCAAAGAAGCGCCAGCTTTAATTTTGTCGTAAGCGTCCGCTCCAGTAAATATTCCACCGACTCCAATGATAGGAATAGCACCGTGTGTTCGTTTGTACATATCTGAGATCATTGCAGTGGACATGTCAGCCAAAGGAGCACCACTGAGTCCCCCGGGTTCCTCCTTGAGAGGGCTTGTTAAATTATTACGCGTAACTGTAGTATTACATAATATCAGACCGTCTACCTTCGACTTTTTCTTAACTATTACATCTGCAATCTCTTGCTTTTCAGAATCTGATAAATCTGGAGCCAGTTTCAACAGCAATGGCTGTTTGCTTTGTATAGATTGTCTGACGTTGTTTATTTTTGTCAGCAGGTCTTCTAAATCACGTTTGTTCTGCAACATTCTCAATCCAGGTGTATTGGGGCTAGATACGTTGATTACAAAGTAATCTGCCACGTCCGCAAATTTCCTAATGCCATCTATGTAATCTTGCGCGGCATCCTCTGATATTTTGTTTTTACCTAAATTAACCCCGACAATACCGTCAAAGTCCTGACTCTTCTTGAGCTTTTGCAAACGTTCCCACACAATATCGTGGCCCTCGCTGTTGAAGCCGTATCGATTGACAACAGCATTGTCTTCCAACAATCTGAACAGTCTTGGTTTTAAATTGCCAGGCTGAGGCTTTGGTGTAACTGATCCTGTAATGAAAATTTCAATACAATATTAATCTATGATCCATCATCCATACTCGTGATTCATTAATATCACTCACCTATTTCTACAAAGCTAAATCCTATTTTGTGCAAGCCAGCTACAGCTTCTCCTTGTTTGTCAAAACCGGCTGCCATTCCTACCGGATTCTTGAACTTTATGCCCCAAACGTCGACATTTAGAGAAGCTGGATCGTTTGCATCTTTCATAGACAAAAGGCCCCACTTTAATACCTGCACTGCTGCATTGTGCGCAACCTCAGGATTCACCAACCGTGCAAGCGGCATGACAAATTTGTTATAAAAGTTCTCATCGCCCTGATAGAAGCAAAGGCCACCGTAAAACATAGCGGCGGTGGTGGTCACTTGCAAAAGCGACTTTAATTTTTGTTTGTTACTCAGACGATGTGACATTTTCTGTAAGCAATTTCGCACAGGTACACGTTTCTGTTGAATGAAAACATTAACCTTCTTTTAAGGTTAAGGACGTTCGTTCAACATCAACGATCAATCCGTTACGAAACGATATCGCACAACGTATTCTCGCATAATACCGCGTAAACATCGCAACTGTAAATAATTAAACCACATTCTATATTTAAACATACGTTTCAAATGTTTTTGACGTGTGACTGCAATGTGACACACGATCGACGCTGCGACGCCATCTGTCGGCCGTTGCACGAATTACTGACCGTACTATACGACAGATAGATTCTATAGTACGTGTAATCTACTGAGACGATCTACTGCGCAGCTTCGATTCAAGCATTTCGATTCGAGAATTTGAAACGACCAAAAGCATATATAATACGTTACTATTTTACTTTACTTTATTACATTAATATAGCTTCTTATGTTGTACAGAATTTCACGTATTCACCATTACTCGAAGAACAGAGAGATACGACATCGAAGATTTGACGATAGACATGTACGTTTGGAGATTAATGACGAAGAGTTTCCCGGCCTTTAAGAAAACCGGATCTTGAGCCTTCATGATCACGTAAATCATGTCTTTCACCACGTTTCTCGGTATATCGTACCATCTGCAGAAGTACAGCGAGTTACCGATGCCTTCCATTCGACGCTTTAAGTATTCGCCTATGTAACTGTACATGAACAATTGCAGCAGCAAAGTGTTTATTAATATAAATGTTTTTAAGATCATGACGATGTTCCCGATGCTTAAAGCGAGAATGAATTGGAATCCTAAAAACAAATTTTATCGATAATTTTATGCCAGCTTGTGTCAATTTCATTAGTGAGATAAAATATACGAGTGTTTACCGCTTGTGCAAATAAGTACACAGCTGAAGAATAGCTGCATGATCAAGGCAGAGCCAATCGTCTCGTTCAGCATCTTGACCATATTCAGTAAGTCAACGTGTCTTCTGACTAATGCAACCAAGTGTCCCATTGTCTTCTCGTTCCTATTGGCCAATTGATTAAATTCTAGCTTCAGGATTTCTATCTGACCGCACACGTGGAAACTGATACCGAGGAATAACACATCGCTGCCTGATTGATTTGTTTCGAAACAAAAGAAGAAAGATTTAGAAAAGCCGCTCTCGATAAAATATCGACATTTAAGTCTTCTTGATCAACTCCATTTTCTACAGAGTTTTCAATTCGTAATATACATATATTTGTATATTTATTCGACGCGCACTAAATGCAAAGTTGCACGTTAGTCGCAACACTAAATTAAACGATTAGAAAAGTCATTTTTCACGTTGATTGAAAAGCCACGATTCCTTGAGTTTGTAATATTCCGAGTACAGAAAGAAAAAAAAAAAAAAAAAAAAACAGCGATAATTGAGGAATAAGAAACGTATCTCCAACTTTATTCCAAAACGAATGAACAACTGCCGACACAGATATTGTTTGTAATTATTGCTTTTCGATCCGCATTGAAATTTATGGAGTTGCTCAGCAAGCGTCTGACTGATCCACTTGACAGCCATTTATTACCTACATTCCCAGTGCACGTGACTATCATCGCGAAAAACTCTGTGATGAAGACTACAAAGTACAAGCTGTCCGGCATTTTTACAAACTCCATTACGTGGTTGCTAGGCATAGGGTACTTCAGTGTCTTTTCTTCCGTTACGTTGACTATATTTTCTAGCCTCTCTCCAACCAGTACAGGCACAGCCATCACAAGTGTCGCACTGGCATACGCGCCACCCATCATGAGGATACACGCCATTCGGCCCATGTATGCATGCTTTCGTACAATTGCTCGTTTCTCTTCGTCTCTAAGCTCATTGTAGTCTCTGATGGCCGAAGTAAAATTATAAATCAAACCCATAGGCCAAATACGAAAGCTCGCCACCTTCGTAATGGCTAAACTGCCGCAGGCAATTAACACTACACTATCGAGATTCTTCTCGGCGTCGCTGCTGTCAAAATAGAGCTCCGTATGCAGGATTGCAATCATTAACGACTATAAAAGAATTATAGGGGATTTAGATGTGCTTATTTGAACCACTTGATTATTGGAACCATACTGATTAGCTCCATAAATTGGGGGGGGGGGGGGGTTGAAACATGCGAATAAAAGAAAACAATATGAAACATTATGAATATATAACGTGCAACTAAATGGAGCTAATAAATTTGAGGATCTGTAACTATTTATTTAATACGTTCGTTACTATAATCGAGCAGAACAAATTGCGATTCATTTTGCGAATCACATTTTGTTCCCTGCATTTTTATAAAATTTTAGAGATTAACGAAGAAGATTGTTTACTCAAAGAGTTCGTTATTGTGAAGCTACGAACGGGAGGAAATTCTTCAGAAATTAATAAAAATTATTATCGCGATTAATTTTGTCCACATTGAAAATTCTGATGTACTGTATACATTTGTAAATTTCATATACCATTAAGAGGATTGTGGCACGCTTGCAGCCACACGATCCAATGCGCGTTAATCGCAAATTGAAAAAAAAAAAAGGAAGAAAAAAAAGTCACGTTTAACTTGACCTTTCGTTAATTAATTGACGCACTTTGTCAACACTCGTCTACAGAAAGAAGTGTCTGATCAAATGAATGCAAGCGAACGTGTCAATTTCAGAAAAGAGATTCATACCAGAAGTATAAGCGTGATCACGGTACGCATAAAGGCGAAGATATCGTAATTCTGAAGGGGCCAGGTACCCACGGGCCACGACAGCAACTTGAACGGTGTCATCGCATAAACGAAATCTTTGCTCAACGTCGTCTTCATCTTTGCAAGACGAGGATCGACCAACGATTCCATAACTTTCCCTTCCTTTCTTCCAGTGTAACAACCAATTGCACTTCTGTTCTCTCCATTCATCATTTATTCAACCATCAATCGCTCAGCTATCCGCTTATCACTTCCACGTCGAAACTGTGCACATTACCAGAAAGAAGAAAGCGGTGGGGGGTTACCTCACGTGTGCAAGTATGCTTCATTGTCATATTGAAGAAATCGGTCCGTGTGTCGGTCCGCAACTTTCACGATAAATTCTTAAGCTAGATTATCCGCGTTATTACGCCGAAAGAGTATTCTGCCTCTCCGATAAATCGTTAATCGGACCATTTCGAGGAAACCGAGACGTTTTCAAAGGGTATTCAACTTTCATAAGGTGGCAAAGAACAAGACCCATTTTCTTATAGCAAAGAAGATACCTTTCCCCTTTATACGATCGCGGAAGAACTGAAACGTCCAAATTGCAGCCGAGTTTATTTCGAGTTCGAGCGAAAAGGTACGATCGTGTCTTCCCTCTGGGAAATGTCTTCTTTATTCGCGCATACATTGATCCAAACGATTGTAAATACTCATATTTGATATATATATATATATATGTATATATATTGTAGCATGCTCCGTGCGTGGGTATGTTTGTGAAAGTTTCCAGTCAATTTATGCAAGGGGATATTTCGTTGCCGTTCCTCGTCGTCGAGTAACATCGCCGCCGTTGCACGAGAGTGGTAGACGACGTTCGCAATCGAACGGTCTTCACGTTTTCATCATTACTTTCAGAACGGACAGATAGGAGGCGGACGTCTTTAGTATCTCTTTGAAAGTGAATATGTTCATCGAGAGGAATTTCCCGGCTGTCAAATGGCACGACAGGTTTCCACGATTGATTATCAACACCAGGTCCCTTGCCGCGCGTCCTCGTGATCGATACCAGAGCGACTGATAGACGGCCTGCGCGATTTCCTCGGTTCGGGACTCGAGTGCGTCGCCAGCGTAGGCGTAAAGGTACAACTGGATGAGCAACGTCACCATCAGCACCACGCTTTTCAGTGCGCCGACGTTGTCTCCTGTGCCCAGGCAGGCCAGGAACACGAAACCTGGTTTTGAATACAATAAACACGAGGTAATGCACTGTTTGTGCCTTACAATTTTACAGAGTGGGCCAAAAATCACTTTCCACCGAAATAAAAGTTGATTAGTTTGAAGATTGATGAAATTAGTCTTTTTTTTTCTTAAATTCTGTGGGAAGAAACTTTTGGCCCAGTCTGTGTTATTTTAGGTGATTTTGATCTTTTCTGACGAAAGATATATCTTGCACTGTAAATGTCACGTATTAAAAAGTAATTGTCAATATTTCATTTGATCGTACGATTATTGAATTTATTTGAAAAATAATGATGGAAAGGTTCAAGAAATATTCCAAGTAAACGATCGATATTAAAAACATTCAACAGGAAGTGTGAATTGCGTAAGTAGAATAATCAGAATCGTGTCAGCCAGTAGAACACATTTCTTGTACAAAAATAATCATTTCCATTTTTTTTCTTCTTCTAAAATACCAAGTATTTCTGAAACACGGATAAATAAATATAAGAAGTGCTGATGTCAATAAATCTTACAAAATTTCGAAGTAAAAAACTTAAAAGTGACATTTCAAGTTGGAATGTTTCTTTAATAAAACGTACAATAAAACATCATTAAGTAACGTTGTTAAACAGCAAGTACATTTAAAAAATATTAATAAAAAAAAATATTTAAAATACATTAATATCAGAAAAATAAAATACATTAATATTAATGTATTAAAAATGAGTAATAAAATACATTATAATATTAATATATTTTATTAATACAAATATTAATAAAATACATTAATATTAATAAAATAAAATATCTAAAATACATTAATATTAGAAAATATTAATAAAATAAAATATTTAAACTATATTTAGAAAATATTAATGAAATAAAATATTTAAAATACATTAATATTAATGTATTAAAGATGAATAATAAAATACATTATAATATTAATATATTTTATTAATACAAAATTTAAATATTTTATTAATATTAATGAAATATTAATAAAATACATTAATATTAATAAAATAAAATATTTAAAATATTTAAAATAATATATTAGAAAATATTAATAAAATGATAATATTTAAACTATATTTAGAAAATATTAATAAAATGAAATATTTAAACTATATTTGGAAAATAATATATTTTTACCGTCTACGCAAATCAGTAACGCGCTCATCAGTAGCTGTATCAATACGATCATATTGAAAGTCTGCTCGAGATCGTTGGCCAACACCGCCAGCTGACAGTGCCGCTTCACGAGAATTCGCAGCTTTTTCTCGCCACCGAGCTCCCCGATCTCGAACTTGGCAAAATTCATCTTGAGAATCTCGAACTGGCCGCAGAGATGCATCGTCAAACTGAAGAACAGGCCGTCGTTGGCGCAGTGAGCTACAGCGTTGACAAAAATGTGCATTGCTTGCAACACCAGCACGCAAATGTGATGGAGCAACGGTTGCGGCCCGAACACGCAGTAGGTTGCCAAAAAGTAATTCAATTTCAAGGAACTCTTTAGGCTCGCCGTTGAGTTCGCCGTGTTTCGCGACGTCTGAAGCAGAGCAAAGTTCTGGTTTCGAGCAGAAAAGAAAGCTGTGCACGTGCGATGCGAGAGTAATTATATAGTGGAACTTGGCTTGTTCAAATTACATTCAATGAAACCGATTAACCGAACTTTTGCCAACCGAATTCGCTTATCTGAACGTAAGATTCATAGTGTGAACTGTTTGTGTTAATTGCGAAGAAAATTAAAACAATTAAATTTCACCTTTCCACTTCCAATTGAGAAAGATAGTTACAGGAAGAAATTTCTCTGTGACACGAAAACGTATATAGAGTGCACATAATGCACAAATATCTAGGAATATACAAAATAGTCATAAACTACGGATATAGAATGTAGATAAAATATAATCAGACTACGGAGTTTCGTCTAATTTTGTATTCTTACGATGCGTAATTGAAATATTTTTATATCTCAAATGTGTTTCAAAAATGCGCGGTCCAGTTATAATATTTGAAAGAGAAAACAAGCTCTCTGTCTTAATTATATTTTTTCCAACAGTGAATTCAATCGTACCTTCATAGACAGGATATCTGCGAAAGGTAAGGCTTTGACGATGAAGGACAGTCCAGAAGCATAACCCAGGTACAATATCATCAACGAAACGATTCGCCCTCTCTTAAAGTATTTCGTCATAACGTCCTCGTGACGAGAGTCGTCAACGACTGACCAGTCTTTTACAACCGAATCTACAAGAGTGTAAGCGTGCCTCGAATTCCAGCGCATGATCAATAGTTTCGCGAGGCTGACAACGGAGGAGAGGTCCATAACGAACGCGTCCATCGTGTCGTCGACGTCGAGACAGTGTCGATAAACCTCCATAGACAGGCTGCAGATAGTACTGATCTAATTACGAAAGATCTTGTCGATTTTTAATGTTCAAACGACTCTCTCGCTAGGCTTGGGCGAATTAAAAACGAAAAAAAGAAAAAAAAAAAAAGGAAGAAGAAACGTTCTGCTACTTTGTTGTTAATTTTAAATTTTAAATATTTTAAGCATTTTTAAATCAATTACTGTTAATTTTAAATTTTAAATGTTCAATGTTTAAATTCTTAATGTCAAAATTTAAAAATTTTTAATATTTATTTATAAAATTTTTAATATTTATTTATATAATTTTATAAATTTATTTATAATTTATACAATTTATAAAATTTTTAATATTTATTTATATAATTTTAAATATTTTAAGTATTTTATATTTGTCAAGTGATACAGAAAGTTGTTTCATTTGATGGCTGAACTGTATTGATGCCAGCTAACATAACTATACGTTGATTGCTTAGTTTTAACTGTATTAACTGTATTTAATTCAAATTAAATAGAGTAATAATCTATAATATATAATCTATAATCTATACTATCTATGTTTGTATTATATTTGTATTTATATAAATATAATATAAATGTATAGTATATATACAATATATATTAATAAATATAATATAATTATACAGTATATATACAATTATATTTATATAATTATGCGCGAATGTTAAAGAAAAGAGTAACTATTTATTAAAATTCAGAAAACTACAGTTTTACTATTCCCGTGTAGTATTACTACCATTCTATAACTGTAGTATCTGTTGTGTGTTAGAGTCTAAATTCTACCAGAGAAGATACAATAACTCTCACAATTCTGTTCAAAAAGAGAAATTAGAAAAGGTGGACAATCTTTACTATATCGAAATTACTACTATACAATGCCCAAGCCTGTTCTCCAAATGCGTCTTTTCTTTTTTTTCAAAACTATACCTGCGTCATCACTGCGAAAATCCATCGGCCAAAGGAGGATCCATCTCTCGTCGGCCAGATACCAATCACTTTCAACACCGTCTCCTGCACCATGAAATTCCGAACGTGCTTCCCGATCGAATCCTTCTCGCGCATTTCTCGCCGCCAGTTCTCTCGACACTTTCCTATCGACGATGATACTTCCTCTGCTTTTCGTCCACTTCCTTCCCCCCCGAATTCGATTTATCGTGGCGCGTACGCGAAGACACGTCACGCCCGCTCACGTGCATACGTTCTCCCCTTTGATCTTTTATTCACGAGCCTCAACAAGCCTGTTATTCTCGCGGCCAACAAAAATACAGAGACGCGAAACGAAACGTGCATTGCAGATGATATAAACGTTGCCCGCTTTCTCGCTACTTGGACACCATCAACTATTAACGAGCCGGCAAGTGATGCCACAGACGCGGCGACACTAAGAAATATGAAAGAACAGCGACAACAACAGGGAGAATGTTTTGATGTCGCGGAGTCGAGGTGTGTTCAGGTTTGCAAATCGTCGGAAATCAAAGGATGGAAAGACCATGGAAATGGAGAACCGTGTAACCGTTTTGCCGTGATTTTATGTTGCAGAATCGAGCGTTCGAGAGATGGTGACAAAGTGAAGAGAGCTGATTCTTGTATTGACACTGACGTGTGACGAGTTGTGCATCATCTTTAAAAGAAACTGAGAAATGGAAGAATGCAGAAGCAATTTGATATCGCGAGATTCACTTTGAGAAATCAAGGGAATGGAAGAATATTTTGATATTGCAAAGTTTCAGTGGTCAATGATCGCAATGGCGTGTTTAGGAATTAAATGATGATGGATAATATGTGAAATCACTTTGCAGGATCAAGCGGTTCGAGTAGACACGGAACTTTGGTTTCGAAAAAGATGGAAGGATAGCGATAGTGCGCAATGAGAAACATCGACATGGTAGAGATCCAAGTGATTCGAGTCACACCATTACGAAATTCTAGCGTTCCGCGTTGAGCATCGGAGCAAAACGTAGATGAAAACAAGAATTCTGATCTCGTAACGGTGTTTCCCGAGACTGGCGGCACGCGTGCGTATCTAAACGCCACGGTATTTTTCTTTTTTCTTTTTTTTTTTTTTTCTTTTCTTCAACAACGTTACTTCGACAGCTGTTCGAGTCGACAGCTTGATCCTCGGATTTTTGTCAAATTTATGGGAGATGTGCGAGAGATAACGCTGGCATGATTAATTAGGAACAATTGTAATGTGTTTGGTGACTGATAGTTCTGTTTCATATGAAAATCAAACGCGTGTTCGTTGATTTTTTGGATCTCAGAGACGTAATGGAACGTTTGGTTCGGAAAATGTAAATTTCGGGACAGCTGGCCTGACGAAGACTTGTCGATATATAATTTGGTATATAATCGTTATGACAAGCAATCTTAGAAGATATATAAAAAGAAGAAGTAAGCTTCAATGCCAGATGAAACAATAATTTGAGGATTCTCGTAATGGAATATTAATTTGTATAATGTGCTGAATTTTAAATTTAGTTCTCTGTGATGGTACTTCTTTGAGATCACTTTGGATAAGTGCAAAGGTGCGAAAATTAAAAGAGAGAGGTTAAAAAATTGACGATGAAAAAGTGTTGACCAAAAAAAGTTTTATAAAATCTTAATAAATTGAAATTGACGCTCACTATACGCATATGTGACGTGTTCGAGTACTGAAAGAGATTAAATGCGGTCGAATGCCAAGGAACAGTGGTCATCGAAATCCTGGCAGCTGGCCACGGATATTCGAACCGGTTAGGCGAAGCCATCTCGTGGATAGATGAGCCTTAACCTTGGCACTTTGAATCCGACGAATCGCCCCGTGTTGACGCGTATTTCCTAAATTCGTTTCGGGGTCAACGACTGGCGGCCAGAGAGGGGCCACCGAAAGTGGCGATCCGAAGCCGGTTTTATCGACCATCGACCTATATACACCGAAATCCTTTATAATTCCGGTAATCCGCTGGAATTCAAACGGAGCTTTTTCATTTCCATTTCTTTTTTTTTTTTTTTCTTTTTCTTGTTCTAGAACATCACGAGGAATCGTGACAAGCAAAACAAATTCTTACCAAAGTCATCTTCCTGTTTGATTTTGAAACTGATCGCCTTCCCATCTCTTTCAGTGTTTGTTAAAATACCACTAATTTTGCATAATACTGCTCTTCTATGATTAAATGGTTCTTTTCGATTATTTCAAACACTTGAATCTCTGATCATTTTTACGAGGACTTGCAAATATCTTTCTCTTTATTTTTTTTGATCCAAAGAATCACGTTAAAGTCGGAAAATCAACAAAAACTCTTTTGTGATTATATTATATTATATATTATTTTACTATATATATTGTATACATAGTATGATATTATATATAATTTAATATTATATATTATATATTATATATTATATATTATATATTAAATTATATATATAATATTAAATTATATATTAATATAATATTAGATTATATAGTATAATATGTTATAATTATAATAATAATAATGTAATAATAATAATTTATAATATAATATTATATAATAATAATATATTAATAATATGATTATATTATGTTATATATTACTTTACTATAAATATTGTATACATAGTATAATATTATATATAATTTAATATTATATATTATATATTAAATTATATATTATTAATACTATATATATATATATATATTAATATTATATTATATATTAATACATAGTATAATATGTTATAATTATAATAATAATAATTTATAATATAATATTATATAATAATAATATATTAATAATATTAATATATACAGTATAATATTATATGTAACATATGTATATAATATTATACTATGTCTAATATTATATATAATACCTATATATACTATACATAATATATATTACATATATTGTATAACATATCATATCCTTTAATCCACACTATCTCTACGAATGTCGGAAGCCCATTGAATTCTCTCAGAAACGTTCGCAAAACCCTTCGAAGTAACTTTCAGAAATATCTTCGGACCCAACGAATTATTTTCTCTCCAATCGCCGCCAGCTCACCAGAGTGCAGCGTGACACCAGAAGTGACAACAGAAGAGATCTCCCCGATTATTTGAAAACAGAGGATACGGAGTATATATATGTTCGAAGGTTGAACGGCAAGAATCCAACACAAGGCCCCTGTCATGCAGATTCTCATTCAACCGGCGGTGGAGTGCGGTGCAAGAACCTTCGGAGAATATTGGAGGATGTACAGAAGGTGGCGTACAAACGTCGCACGATGCTATCGGCTTCTACGCTCGCTGCTGAATGTGTACCTGGTTGCTCAGGTAGGTAAGTACCGTTCGTCGAGCTACCTTCGACGCCAGTCACGCCAGAACCTTCGTCGTGTCGGGTGCGCACGGAGACCACAACGGGACTATCCTCGGGACTATTCGCGGGTTAATCTCTCATCACCGGCGTCAACGTAACTCTCCTCTTCATCGCTGGTGTCCAAGGTATGAATTGAATCGTCATTTAATGCCGGAAAGTTTTCGTCTCTCTTTGAAAGGCCGTTTGAATGAACGCAACGACACGTTGCGAGTGGCAACGTGTGAAATATGCTCCGTTCGTTCGTTCGCGAGAACGATAAAGAAAAGGAAAAGAGAAAGAAATTTTTGTGCGAGCGATTTGGAGTCGATTGGATGAATTTTTATCGTCGACAGAATTCGATTGCAGATTTACGGTAGATTTTACAGCGCGTAACAAAGTAGCGGTGTGTCAGGCTTCAATGATCATCGTGCCCATTGAAAAGACGATCGAGCACGCTCTGGTTGATGGTAACTACCGTTGTTGCGCCTTCACGAATTTTCATAACCTATTAAGTAACTCGATTGTGTAAACCGTTCTCTCAGCTAATGTTTTTGAAGCTAATGAAACTTACGCGCGCTTAATCCGTGAATTATTCCGATCGGTTAACGGCCAGAACGGTCAGAGTCACGGATATCGGATTCTTTTTGTTTCAAGTTACGTCTGCCTTGGCCAGAGTTGACACATTTGTCGAAACGAAGAAACGAATCTCAATGACGCGATGTCTCCTACCATTCGTTAATAATACGAAAATGTAGTGAAAGGATAAATTGCTCGATTTTATTCGGCGAGATTTTGTTTTTTTTTTTCTTTTTTTCTAAATGGAACGTCGTAGAGCTTGAAACAAATTCATCGACTTCGTTAACAACCTCGTTAATCATCTAGAGTGGTTCAACTTCAATTGACATGTTTCGAATGATAAATTCTGGTGGCCATGGAATAATGCGATGTGAGAAATGCTATTAGCATTAACGCCATAGTGCCTCCAATTCGCATCGTGTTTTGAACGATAATACACTAGGTCTTGCCTTTATGTAAGCTAACTGATCTTTTACAACGAGAATCGAATATGTTAATCGCCTCCAAAGTAAGGTCGTAATTAAAGGTGAACACATTTAGTGATTACCGGGAATGTTTTTGTAACATTTGTTCCTGCGTGTTTTATTGTCGTGTTTCGTTTCGAACACGATCAATTCTTCAAGTAAAGTAAAGTGTTCGTATATACGTTTGATAAAAATTTATTACATTCGTTAAAAAAGCACCTGTTGCTTCTATTTAGTAGTAACATTATTAATAAGCTATTTATTATAATTCTAGTAATATAATTAGTAATATTATTCATAAGCTATTTAATAGTATTAAGCAGCATCGATAAAAATTTTATTAACGAATTACTTCAAATATCAAAGAAATTAAAAATGCTAACAAATAGACTCAGTTCTAGTGTTAATTCAAGCAGAACTATACGCTACGATGTTGATGATAAAATACGTTCTGTTTTATTTTACTTTTGAAACAAATTGCGCGAGATTTGATTAATTTAATACCAATATAATGCAAAAAGGAAAACCAACCACATTCGTACATTTTGACAATCAATTCTTTCTTTTTTTATAAATAAAATTTGTTTCTTGAAATCAAAGTTAATATTGTTAGAGAAAAAAAAAAAAAATTTGTTCTTGACAGAAATATTTTGAAGAGTCTACAACTCACATTGCAAATATTTTTATGAAATAAACTGTCGCTCGTTGCGATAAACTAACGAGCACAATGATAAGACAAGGTTGAGTTATAATATTGCACTTAACGAAGATATATTATCATTTCTCGTAATCGTTTTCCTTTTCAACTTTGTGAAGACAATGCACAAAGTGGAAAAAATACAAAAATGTTTCGTCGTTAGAAAATATTATTCACTTCAGAAGTTTGAAGAACAAGTCTTCGTAATAATCATCTTTCGACTTATTACCCCTGTCGACGTTAGTAACGTTACAACTAAGAATAACACAGTATAGGATTGTCCTCGTTTCAGGTTAAACTCAAAACCAACTAAACTAGAGTACCGAGTATTTTTGACCTCTTGCCACGCGCGTCGACAATTTTTTTGCCCAAAAATATTTCAGTTTTAAGTATATTTAAGTATAACGAAACACACAGGAGGAAACAAATAAATAAATTTATCACTTCTCAATAATTTCTATCCAGTGACGTCGTGCCGACGAGTTTCAAAAAAGAAAGCGACGAATTATCGTATACAGTTTGGTCACTCGTTATGGTCCGCAATGCGCTGGAATTTTTTTGTTCCAAAATTGTAATATTTCAGCTTTAAGTATATTCGAGTATAACGAAACACACAGGCGAAACAAATAAATAAATTTATCACTTCTCAATAATTTCTATCCAGTGACGTCGTGCCGACGAGTTTCAAAAAAGAAAGCGACGAAATTTTCGTATATACGGTTCGGTCACTCGTTATGGTCCGCAATGCGCTGGAATGACGTGCCACGCACGTCGAGAATTCTTTTGTTCCAAAATTGTAATATTTCAAGCTTCAAGTATATTCGAGTATAACGAAACACACAGGCGAAACAAAGAAATAAATTTATCACTTGTCAATAATTTCTATCCAGTGACGTCGTGCCGACGAGTTTCAAAAAAGAAAGCGACGAAATTTTCGTATATACGGTTCGGTCGCTCGTTACGGTCCGCGATCAGTTGCCAGCGCAAGCCAGTTGAAACATTAAACATTTTCACCTGCCCCTACTACAACATTAGTAGCATTAAGAGTGCGAGTAACAATGCGCTATCATCTTTGATTCCGAGAGGATTCGAGAACACGTAAATTTCGTTTCTTCCTCGCGTGGAATCGAAGAATGGGGCCGGAAAGAATGGCCCGCGCGCCACGAAAAGCGGCGCGTCGTTTAAACGAATCGTACGGGATAATAAAATTGCACATGTAACAGGTGTAGAAAGATACTCTGACCGTGTCTAACGAGCTGGTTTTTTTAATTTAATTACGCAGCAAACTGTCGGTTACGTTCGTACGTATTGTTCCTGGAGCAGGCTAACAACCGAACTTGTTGTTCTTTCCTCTCTTTAATAGAGCTATGTGCATACGTACGCACGTATATTACCTATCACTTATTCGAAAACGGTACGCGTTGTTGAGCTTGAAATCATTAATAATACACGAGCGGTACCGTTATCTCGGTTGACTCTTCAAACGCCGCGTTTGGTTGCGTTTGGTCGAGCAGAGACGAGTCCGAAAAAGACGGAGGAAGAGAAAAGGAAGGACGTGCTGTAGCATCGATGGTACTCGTGGTTCCCCACCGAACTGGAAAAACGATGTCGATGTCCGGCCGACCTTGGGAACCAACTTCCAGCGAGAAGAGTTCTCGCTCACCTCGCTTTCCCTCTCGTTCTCGCGCGAGAACGATCTGCATCTTGCACTTTCCGCGTTCGCGATCGAAGTCGATAAATAAACACGCCAACTGGAGAGAACCGCGATTTCACCGCGTCACAGTCTGATTCGAAATCCCATTGTCTATTCGGGAGATTTAATTTACGGTAAATCTGAGGACAAGCCTTCACGCTGAAAATGAGACGTTAACCACGAGTTAACAACGGGGGAACTGCAATTAATATAATTTCCTTGAAGTTTTCTAGATTTAAATTTTGGATTCCCTTGCACTTAGATGAAAATTACATTTGAATTACATTTCATTTAAACCTGGATTTTCTGCGTTCAGAAATTTTTAAACTGTCGTTCTCGCTTTTCTATTCCTCCGATACAAATTTCTTATCTTTCAGCTTTCAATGATAATTAATACGTCTAGATAATCACACGTAAGAAAGTAGAAACAAGCTTCTCTATTTTACATGATACGTGATACGTGTGTTCGATGTTTATAAAGAAATTCTCAGTATTCAACAGTCTTCGATCTTACGATCTAGTCTCTTATCTAGTTTCAGTTTAGGATCCTTCGCGACGAGTCGAAGGAGAAACCCGTCCGCGTGGGGAAAAAGGAAAATCGTTTTCAATCTGAGAAAACGGCGAGTCGGCCTGGTGATCGCTTAGCCCACAGCCGATTGACGCGAGTTTGGCGCGTCGTTGAAGGAACGATGACTAACTGTACCGTTAGCCCGAATCGTTCCTCCAACTGGAAGAATGTCAATTTCATGCGGTTTACGGTACTCAAATTGCGCGTTAGAATACACCGTTTCGATTGTTGACCAGTTTCTTTTCAATCGCGACGATCGCCCTCGTGACTGGCATTGATCTCGATGTTCACGATACGACAGATCTATATTTACTTTCGAGGACATTCTTCTCGCTGTTTTCTGCTACAGTTCTCACCATTTTTCAGAAAAAGAGAAAATGCGTCTCTATCGTCCACGAACTGGCAAACGAAAGATTATTACCTGTAGCCTGTGGAACATTTTGGTTCTGAAAAGAACAATTGACGTGGATCAGACTGTTGAATGGGAATAGATTTTTGAATAAGTATCGAATAATACTTTGAATTCATTTGAAGGATTCAATTCAGTAAAGAACTTGTCTGAAAACCGGTTTTGCATAGTAAGAACATCAAAGACAGTCGATGGGAGGCGCAACACTTTGGCGGGAGAAATGAAGAAAAGGTATAAAAGAAAATAGAATGAAACGTAGTATTCCTCTGTCGTTAAAAAGTTCATTAAAATTGCAATCGTTTTATTCAAAACCAGAGTAAGATTCCAGGACGTGTCGATAAAATTCTAGAAAAATTCAATGTCAGAGTTGTTAGCTGTTACAGTTAATTCCAATTCAAAGAATGATCTCGCAGAAAATTTCAGAACTGTAATTTAATAATACAGTTGATTCCCATTAAAAGAATAATGGCGTCTTGCAAAATTCGACAGTGAATAACGACGTGTGAGTTGACTTTCGTTTCCCAGAAATCTTTCGTGGACGATCGAACAGGGACGAGAAGAAAATCGTTCGTGCCTTCGATTCATTTCGAATGGCATTTTACGCGTGCAACGGTATCCAAGTGTCCGCGAGCCCGAAACGTTTCCGGTGTATTACTCACGGTTAAAATCCTGCCGACGACCTGGATAGAGGCGCGCGCCATCCAAAAATAACTCGATCAAGATCCGGTTGAAGGTGAACGACTCGTCCATCTTCGTTACGTCTTCGGAACCGAGAATCAAATTCGAGAAACGCCACCTGTTAATTTGTCGTCTCGTTAACGAGTTCGCGTCTTTTCAGAAGCAGAAGGGAAAAATGTGGTTGCCGAGGACGTGCGTACTGCTTCTTCTATTAGCCGCGGTGAATTGCGAAAAACACGAGACGGAGGAGGATGCCTCGTCTGTGTTCCTCGAGGCTGCTAAATCTTTCTTCTCCAACAAGGACAATCTGAATGGGCTGCAGGGCTTGGCAAGGACGTTCTTGCAATCAGACGACAGGAAAGGGGTAAGGTGACGCTCGAGGGACATTTTAAATGTCTTGGAAACACCTTGAAATTTGTGATATGTCATCTGTAAAATTTCACTTCTTTGTATTTCTTCGATTGGGAGAGCAAGAAAAAAGAATATTTATGAGTGATCGATCAGCAATATCAGATTTGTATTTGATTAATTCAAAATTCCTCACTGATCAACTCTGTAAATTGAAAAGTAGAGAGAAACGATGAAAGTTCCTTAAGATCAATTTATATCATTTCCTGGAGAAAAAACAATTCTAGCTGGTAAAAGTTCGAGGAATACAAAATTTTTAAATTCTTCCGAGAGTCCAAACTCGTAACACAAGAAAAAAGATACTAAAAATTAAAAATGTAAAATTATACAAAATTAATTTAATAATAAATATGTATATTTAATAATATATATATATACATATTTAATAATATATTATATATATTATAATATATATAAAATATTTTATAATATAAAATTAATTTCACAAATATATAATATATATAAAATTAATTCAATAATAAATAATATATATTATGTACATTGTAACATATATAATATATATAAAATATTTTATAATATTATATATAAAATATTTCATAAAAATAAATTAAAAATTAATTTCACAAATATATAATATATATAAAATTAATTTTACAAATATATAATATATATAAAATATTTTACTAATATAAAAAGAATAAAATATTTTATTAATATAAAATTAATTTCACAAATATATAACATACATAAAATTAATTTAATAATAAATAATATATGTTATGTACATTATAACGTACATAATATATATAAAATATTTTATAACATAAAATTAATTTCACAAATATATAATATATATAAAATTAATTTAATAATAAATAATATATATTATGTACATTGTAACATATATAATATATATAAAATATTTTATAATATTTTATATATATTATATGAAATATAAAATATTTCATAAAAATAAATTAAAAATTAATTTCACAAATGTATAACATATATAAAATTAATTTTACAAATATATAATATATATAAAATATTTTATAATATAAAATTAATTTCACAAATATACAACATACATAAAATTAATTTAATAATAAATAACATATGTTATGTACGTTATAACGTGCATAATGTATATGAAATATTTTATAACATAAAATTAATTTCACAAATATTCGCACATCGAAGATCCTGAGATACTAACTGCGTGGAAATTGTACGAAACAGGCCGGCAATGGGTTCGACGGGAAATCGAATGTGGACGGTGTCGGGCAAATCGTATCTGGCATAGGAAGTTTATTCTCCGGTAGCGAGAAAAGCCAAGGAATCGATTTCTCCGTGATCGGTTCGATTCTCGACGGTGTAATGAACTCTGACAAAGGCAGCAAAAGATCATCCAGGAGCGTGGAAGCGAAACAAGAGGCTGGCATCGATCTGGAGGGCATCGTGAACGTGGGAAGGATGCTGATGGGGCAAAACGGCAACGCCGACTTCATGATGGGATTGATACCGATGCTGCTGTCGAATTTTGCCGTCAACAACGACAACGACAACGAGGTTGACGCCGGCTCGAGCAAGCTGCACGATCACTCGGGCCATTCCTGGTACATGCCGCCGATCGTAGAAAACCTGCACGTGATGTGGGACCATTTCAGTAACTCGGAGCTGGGTCAAACGTTGTGGAAGAAGAGCGGTTTGTCGCAGTTCGTGGGCCAAATATCGGACTCCGAGGGGCGTGTGCAGTACGAGAAGCTGCTCGACAGCTTCGAGAACCCAAATCTACGCCGCAGATGGATACGATCGTTGACGAATTATATCGGCGAATGGATTTCCCACGTCTCCGATCCGCAGATTCAACAGCGTTACCTGAACACCGCCCAGTTCGTGGGGAACAGTTTCCTGAAGTCGCAGGGATTTCCAAAATCGGCCATGTTCGACTCGATGAGGCCGGTGGAGAGTCTTTCTAGGTACTTTGCTACTTTAAAACATTCGCTGTTCATTCGATTTATAACGACGTACCGAGAGATTAAAAATTAAAAATTTGCAATTAGATTTTTCATTTAGCTATTTATCAACGTGTGATCTTCGTACGTCGTTCTGGTAATTTTCTGTAATAATTTAATTAACCAGATGTTTACTTTTCGGTACGATGCGAAGGTGAAACGGTGAAAAAAAAAAATGGATCACTTGAACATAATTCTGAGAAACCGATTCCGAAAGTTTAGACTTGAAATTGAATTTCATTGCGCGATTATATCTCAACAGATTAGTGAACGCGGTGGGTAAACGGCACCTGGGCATGAAGATCAACAGTTCGCAGTACATCAAGCCAGCTGTGTCGTACATCAAAGAATTAATCGCTCTTGCCTCTGAGAAGGGGTTCATCATGTCCCGAGTGAACGCAAGAGAGATCAGCAACAGGCTCAGTGACACGATCAACAATGACATTATCAATCCAATATTGAAGGTAAGAAACGAAGAAGGCGATTAACGTTCTTATTATACAGGGGCCGCGTGTTTAAATTGTGGGATGGATTCGCAGTCTTATCGGGCATACAAATGGTCGATCAAGAGGCCGCAATGCGCCAGTCAAATCTTGTGCGCTATCAACGAAAAGAACGAACAGGATACGAAACAACCTCGTTTGAGAAGTTATTTAGTGAAGGTGACCAGTTTCCCTGCTGCTTGGGCTGTCAGTAACAAGCTAGGAACAAATTTCTGGAATCTCTACGGAGCTATCATGGAACACGACAAGTGCGCTGTAAGTAAAACTGCTATCTAGCATATCCTCTCCTTTCTTCATTTTTTTTCTTTTTTGCTGCTTCACATTGTCAGAATTGCTCCAACATATCTCGTTCGATTTTCCAGCAAAAATACCCGGCCGACTGTACGGATTTCCACGAAGAGGAGATCCGAATTACGACAGAGAGCGTTCACAGTGAACTTTAATCTTTAGTTCGGTGTACCTTGTGAAAGAGACGTTCGCGACATTTATCAGTCAATCTCACGGATACGCGGTCGTATCGTACGGCTAGTTATTCCATTTGTAGCTTTTAAGACCATTATACGTTAAGGAAAGGAAAAGAAAGAAAAAAAAGAGAGAGAGAGAGAGAGTCGCCAAACAAAAGTTCGAAAACAGAGTTTCAAAACGTTTTAGTGTACATAGAGAAATAACTGGAAACGAAGTCGATCGAATAAGCAGATCTTTAACTTTACGAATCTTTTATTTATCCTGAATTTCACATGAAGAATATTCACTGTTTTTTTTTTTTTTTTTTTTTTTTTTTTTTTCTTTTATGTACATTGTGCGATTCGTTTACTTTCACGGTGCTAAACATTTTTCTCAATCAAGTGTTGTGAAATCAACAATAATAAGAGCACCAGTTATAGTTACTTTTTATTACATATATATATACATATATATATATAATATCTTCTTTGGATTCATTTTCTATATTTATTTCTTTCCAATGGAATCTATAAAAATTCTATTTTATAAGAAGAACACGTGTGAGAAGCTACGCGTTACAATATTCTTCGGGACATCGTAAATCCGAGCTTAGGAAAGCTCCTTCCATGAAGGACGGAAGTTGAATGACTAGATCCATTTCGATCGTGTTCATACGCTTGCGTTGTCTGCAACAGCTTTTGTAAATATTAGGTAAAAGTCAAATAAAACGTATGTTGGATGTACGAGATACATGGTAAACCGTTTCGGTTCTCGTTGTCATTCTTACACCAGCGTTACTTCCTCTTGATGTTCTTGCATGCCCATTCAAGACCCTCCTAGAAAATCATGAGATTTAACGTTGTGATTGAATATTCTTAAAAAATGAAAAAAAAAAAAATGGTATATGTAAATCACATGTGTAATTTCTTTTACAAATTTTATTAGAGACAAGAAGTTGTTTTACTTATTCAAACGAGACCCGAGTCGAAGTTAATTTACCTTGACGCCTTTCCCTTCAGTCGCGATGCATGATTGTATCTGCCAATCGCGATCCTTAATGTTGTGCAGTCCAAGACCTTCAGCGATTTCGGCCGCTGTGACAGCTTGTCCAAGATCTTGCTTATTTGCGTACACCAACAAAGGAACACCTCTCAATTTTTCCTCCAGCAAAAGTTCTGACAATTCTTGACCTGTTTCTTCTAGTCTCTTTATGTCCGCGCTGTCCACGACGTATATCTTTGCGAGAAAAGAAAGAGAACGTAATTCTTGTTATTGTCACAGGCTTGGGCAAGTTTCATTTGAAATAAAGATAAAAGATAATCTCGAATAATCAATCGTTTCGAGTATCTTAGTTATCGACTCTTTCAAATAAAATAACGTATAATTTGAATTTTAAATATTGCACTTTGAGTAAATCAGGATCGTAAACATATGTGGACGAATTGTTTCACAACGCAATGTGGCCTCCATTGTTTTAATTTCAACCATATTCAAATAATATGTCATCACGATACGATGCACTTGGAAATATTACGTAAGAGTACCGGGACATTTTTTAATTATTTATTTACGTTAAAATACCAAATAAGAATTATAAATTCAAAGAAATGTCACTTGCTTATTCGAGTAAGCTAAGATATTAATTGTTTTCAAGTTGACGTTATCGTTTTATTTAAATAACGTTCTGGCTTATCTAATTTTATGGCATGACGCGAGTGTTAAAATAATTGAAGCGACTTACTAAAACATCCGTGTTTTCGAAATAATTTCGCCAATAGGGACGAATTTTTCGAGCACCTCCTATGTCCCAAACGTTCAATTTAAAACCTTCGCTTTGAACGCTTTTTATATTAAAGCCTTGTGTCGGCGTTACCTTTAACAAATAACGAGTTATCGCAGTAAACAATTAAATTATAATTACCTGCATTCGCGATACGTACCTGCGTAATATCCTCGCTGGCCAGCGATTTTAAAATCGTTGTTTTCCCAGCATTGTCTAATCCCAGAAGAAGCAATCGCAATTCTTTGTCCGGATTCGAACGCAATTTTCTCAAGATCGACAAAAGTCCCTGTCGTTAAACAACGAAATAAAGATAACTTTTCTACTTTCTTTCGTGCTGTCCAAATATCTGAATTTGAATCGCGCGCCTATTAATCTAGCAGACGAAATCGTTCCGCGACGGCAATGGCGTGGTCGAGGGGAAGTGTGCAACTCGGTCGTCAAGAATTTCGGAAATTCGTGCGAACGTGTGCCTGTCTGTACAATCAGAGTATAAAATAAGAAGCAAACAGAGTTAAACGAAAAGTGTGTATCGAATGAGAGGTATCGCGACGAGCGTCCGAGTTTCGTTTCAGGTCCGCAGACTTGCAACTTTTAGGTTAGGTTTCATCCGTCACGCGTGAAATACGAATGCTTTTGAAGCGGATACAGAAGAGTGCATGATACGATAGAGTGCATTAAAAATCACTAGTCAATGCTTCGTTACCATATTTCGCCGTTATTATTCGTGAAATGGGAACGAAAAACGTGGCAGAACCAGGCCACGACACGTCAATCGTTCGGTTATCGTCCCTCGAATTTGTTGTGTTGTTTTCATCGTATCTAAGGAAACTGATGCTACCTGCGTCACCGACCAATAGCCTCTCGCGCAACGTTTAACTCTATTTCCGTGTCGATTCGTTTTCCGCTTGAGCAAAGCGAAATTTTATAGAATATGAAACTTGCACACACGTCTATGTATAAAGAAAACTTTTATTCCGTTTTCTAGAGACATGTTGTTTCATTATGCCGGTTTTAATGTCAGTACGTTGTTCTCCAACGACGGGGATATTACCTATACAGTAGATTCGTTTACCGAGGTACCGTTTCCTGGAATCACTGACTTTCAAATAGGTTGGAGTTACTTTCTCGTCTGGAAGGGACAACAATTGTACATTTCTAAAAAACCTGAGGACAGTGGTAACGACACAGATTCGAGTGTCCAACCGATACGAATACCAGAAAAGTCATTAGACAGGTACATTCTGGGAATAAAAATTAAAAATACGTACATTTCAATTGAACGTTTGTATTCTTATAGTTGCAAGCACGCAGCGATCGGCAAAGATAATGTAGTAATTTTGTCAAATGACAACGAAATGTGGCAGTACAAGATTTACGAGGATACTTGGAAGAAGGTGATCAATTTCATTGGCAGTGGCGGTGATTCAGAGAAAGAGTATGCTGTTAAAATAATACAAAGAGGATGCACCGTGGCCCTTACTAATTTAGGTAATTGTGACAAATGTGGACTAATCGCGCTCTCCTTGATCCGTGCACTGAATATTTTGAATTGGCATCTGTTCATTTTTAAAAAGAAGAAAGATTACAGATTTGTCAAATACTGGAATCAGTTCACTTTGTCTTATTTTCTAATTATGGTTTAGGTCGTGCTTTTAATGTTCCCACTCTGATTCATATTCCAAAAAGGGTTCGTTTCATTGATGTTGCTGGTGGATTTGACCACACTATCTTCTTGGCAGAGAATGGTGACATCTATTCAATGGGAATGGGAACGTATGTAACTTGATTGTGTATTATTTCACAAATCGATATCGGTCAAAGTAAAATAGATTGACTCGTACGAAACAGGCGTGGTCAACTAGGGCACAACGATTTAGAGGACTGCGACAATCCAAGGATCATTGACGCCTTAGCTGGCATTAAAGTAACACAAATTTCGGCCGCGGGTTGGCACACCGCTGTAGTAACTGACCAAGTAAATAGATATTATTTCTATACGCATATTTTTGGAACATGCAAGGTTGTTATTTAATAGACGAAGCAAATTTCTGCTCAGAAAAATAATGAAATAAAATTGTATAAGCATTTGCAGTCTATATAAATATTTCTCGTACTAATGAAACAGATGAACACATTTTTAAATCATAGGGCGATTTATACACGTGGGGATGGAACGTAAACGGAGAATTGGGATTGACAAGCCAAGAGAGCAAAGTGATTGCTGTACCCACGTTAATAGATTTCACGAACGATCGGAACGAGAGCGTAGAAGTATCCGTGAAGAAAGTTCAGTGTGGAAATACGTTCACCATTTGTATGACGGGTACATTGAAAAAAAAAGAGAGAGAGAGAGAGAAAATATTAAAGAAAAGGAAGAAAGATGTATTCCAGAAATTTACTTTTTTTTTTTACTTGTAACAGATGATGGAACGCTATGGGGTTGCGGATGTAACAAGTACGGACAGTTGGGGCAATCCCCGGAAAAGCTTCCCAGCTCGCCAAAATTTATTAAGCTCGATGTTCTTTTAAACTCCGACGACATTAAAGATTTCAAGTGTTCCGAGTGGGGCACAGTCCTCGTGACAGACTGACACTGTAAGTTTTTACGACGGTTGGTTTCACAAGGAAGGAATAAAGAGATTGTTTCTCAAAGATTGTCTTGTTCGATTATTCAACGCTATGCGTCCGACGTTTCGAATATTCCCGACGATTCGTTCGCTTCTATCAGTGGTAGAATAAACGAGCGATTGTACATCAGTTGCGCTTCATCGTCCAAAGAGCGTGGAGGTGTTGGCGGTACTTCGGGAATTGTTTTGACCTTTTTACCTGTAACGTAAAGACCATTGTCAATTTTTTCCATTTGTTAATTATTTGGTTTAAAAAACTGTCGTAAGAAATATCGGTTCTACGACTTCGATTAAACGCAGAGAGTAGAAAAGTAAAAGAAAATCTCAGTTTTACCTTTCGCCTTGTTCCCTTTAGATTTTTCCATTGTGCCGACCATTCTCAAGCTTCTTTGCAATTGTACAATGAAAGGGATCGACTTGGGATCTGCCAGTTTTGTCGGGCGTGGTGTCCGAAGTGTAAACGGTAAGTCGCAAGTCTGTATTTCAATTGGTTCCACGAAGACTGCATAAATAAGCGCATAACGCAACTCGTTCGCGTACCTGTTTAACAAAACATTGTTTTCACCTGTTTGCTGTCAATGTTCATTATAGATGAAATGAAACACTTACATATCGTAGGTATCCTCGATCACTATGTCCAATACCAAACCTGGATCGATGTTACTCGAAAATCTGACGTCGTCTTGTCGCGAACTTCTCGCAAATAGACGACTCGTTACTCGAGCACAATATGGCAAAAGTTTCACAAGATTGGACTAAACTACCTTCTTATCGATTCACCTCCCGTTTCTTCAGTTTCGTCCCGCGAGTCGTCGTACTCGTCCACGATTTCGTCCCAATACGGCACTCGATTCTGTTCAGATATCTTGTCAGCTGCCACGGCGAAAATGCTCCTCATTTCTCTAAAAAAATCTTCACGCGTGTGTTTCCTATCTTGGCGAGTAAATAATCAATCATCTTGCTGATAATCCGAATTTCCAATTGTTCGCCATTTGCGTGAACGAGATTACGCAACGAGCGCCACGAGATTACTTACGAACGAAGGCGCGCGAGTATGCTCGGTAAATTGATTACCTCGAAGCAATCTAATTTCACCGGCCAGCCAGCTGATCAAAACACTCGTGCAATATTCATCGAGGTCCCTTCTGTGCCGTATCGCGTAAAGCGCCAGCGTGTCCAAAAACCAAAAGGACGCCATGTTGGTGGCGTAATCGGCGATGCCGAGAAGATTTCCTAGTAACCTGCGGAGAGAAAATGTCCCCCGTGTGTATCACGACTCGTCGAAACTGTCGTTTCGATTGATCAACGTTTCCGACTTGATGAGCTGCCGAGGTTCGTCGCTTTCCACGCTGATCGGCGTCGCGAGCAAGCTGTTGAACGTACGTGGAAGCGTCGGCAGAAACTTTCTCACGCACTCGTCGTTCGACGCTGTCTCGCTACTCTGTAAATTCACGAGCGATCACGAATTTCCGTGAATGTACAATGTCGCTGACGCGTTGACGTTGTTCGCGAATGGAAAAAAGGATTGGGAATAAAAATCGTTTCGATTCCGAGAACCTTGTCCGATCGATCACTTCCGTTCTCCGTGGTTGTCGCTCCAAAGTTGGATTTTCGCATCTTTTATCGCCCCCCGATTTTGCCAACGAAACGATGACCAACGTTTGTGCTTAAACGTTCGGCCCGTCGCCGAAGGTCGAATGGAATCTAGAAGGCGCCGTGTCGGGATAGACAGCAACAAATAAAATAAAACAGTCACAGTAGAACGGTTCGTTCGTTTTTTTTTTTTTTTTTTTTTTTATTTTTTGTTTTTTTTTTTTATTTTTTTTTTTTCTTTTTTTTTTTTTTTTTTTTATTCATTGATTTTATTTTTTAATTTTTTTTTTCCATATTTTGTTCAATATTTTCAGAAAATAACACTCCAAAGCGAAAAAACCGTATATTCTCACCAATCCCAATGTGTGTATAATATATATATATTATACTTCTCATATATAATATATATGTATATATATATAATATATATATATAATGTATACTTTTATACTTTATATATAATAATATTATGTAGAGTATAGCGCACACTTTAGACTGTTATCGATACCTTTTATAATTTTATCGATAAATTACAAATATTGAAAAACATGAAACAGACACAGCCGGCGGAGACACGGGGACTTGGGCGTCTCCTGGGACATCTTCCTACGGGAAACCGTGAAAAAAGATTCATCTTCTCTTCTCTTTCGAGCGCGCTCTTCTATTGTCGCGGCTTCCGTTTCGCTCGATGGATTCGATCGGCCATCCGAGTTCTCGAGGAAGAGAGCTCGAAAAGGTGTGAAGTGGGCGAGGAAAAAGAGAGTTCTCGGTGAAAGAGAGAGAGAGAGAGAGAGAGAAAGAAGAAATAAGAACGTTTCTTTCCCGGTTCGTTCCTTCTCCCCTCCGAAAAAAAAGAAGAAAAAAACGTAGGAGCCAGGGGGGAGGGGGAGGGGGAGGGGGAGGAGGGAAACGGAAAACGCGACGAAAAAACGCGCCTCCCTCGGGGAACACGATTAAATTACTTATTATATTATATTCGGTCGCTCGGAAATCCCCGGGTCCCGGCGCGACTGACATTTTTTTTACTTTTTATTTTTCACTTATATATTTTCACACCGAAGTCGGAAAGGCAATACGCAGTATGAACTTACTTAGTACATTTGTGTGTGTATGTGTGTACGCGTATGTGTGTGGCTTTTACAACTATTTTCCATTTTTTTGCTTCTCTCTCTGTTTTCTTCTTCTTCTTCTTCTTCTTCTTCTTCATCATTTTCTTTCTTTATTTTGTTTCCTCTTTTTCCTTTTTATTATTTACTTCTCTCTCTCGCATTGGCTGTGGTTCTTGTTTACACTTGTTGTCGTATTTTCCCTTCATCATTTTTCTCGCTTTCGTGTTCGTTTCTCTGCCTCCTCTCGCTTTTTCCTGTATCGCCTGCTCCCACGCATAGTTTTTGTCATTAACTTAACGAAGCCTCTCTCGTTTCCTTTCTCTTTTCTCTTCTTCGCCACGGACAACATTCGCCGTTTCGACCGCGATTTCTTACACATCGATCCCGATTACTACTAAAAAACTTTCCCTTCTTTGTTCCTTTCTTTCCTTTCTTCTTCCGCCTCGTTCGAATTTCATTTCGTTCAAACTTTACACTAGGTGTATATATATAGTGTTCTGCTTCGACCGTTCGTACCGTCTTCCCCCGTCTCGATAATCGTCCAAAGATACGTGAGAGTAAGAGGGAGAGAGGAGCGATGATGCAGAGAGAAGAGAAGGGAGCGTAAGAGGGTGGTGTTCTCGGAGGGGTTCTGCGAAGTGAAACATCGTATACGAATGCAGCCAATTAAATTCGTGTCCAACTAAAGGAAAAGAAGACGAAGAGAAAGGAAACGAAAGAACGAAAGAACAAAACGGAAACAGAGAAAACAGTGATCAACCAGACAGGAGCGTGGGTATGAGCGAGGGGAGCGGTGATTTCAAGTCTTTCTTTCCACTCTTCTCTCGTCGTCGATCGAGATTTTTGATTCTTTCGTTTTTTTCTTTCCGAGCTTTTCTTCTATTTTCGAATAGAAAGAAATTAAAAAAGACTGACGTGTACAAGCGCAGTTACAAATACCGTGCAACACACATGGAAGAAAGAAGAAATCACGAAGAAGATGGGAAACGTGAAAAAAAAAAAAAAAAGAAAGTACGTAGTCTGGTGAAGTACGAAAAAAAGAAAATAAAAACCGTGGAAATTAAATATTTTCAATCGATTTTATTGAAAATAATACAACAAAATATCTCATAATAATAATAATAATAATTAAAAATAATTAATAATAATTAATGATACGTACTGCTCTATTCGGTGTCTAAATAATCATGTCTTAAAACGTCATTTAAATAATAATAATATTATCGTCGTCATTAATTGTCGTAATAAAATAAAATAAAATAATAATAATAATAATAATAATGATAAAATAATAATAATAATAATAATCATATCGTATAATAATGCATTAATAAACAAACTTAATAATCTAATTATTGGTTAATGATTCGTCATCGTCCTTGATCGCTATCAATGGATCTTTTTTTCTTTACCTAGCCATTAATAATGGATAATTAATTAATTCATTAATTAAATTACACGTTGCTTGGATATGCACATACAGATATAAAGTCGTTTTTGGTCCCACCTAACTGCAAACATTATATTCGTACAATTTTTTTTTTTTTTTTTTTGTTTGTTTCGTTTGTTTCGCATGGATCGCTTCATAATGTAATGCGTGTATTCTATGTAAGTAAGAAGTGTTAACTGTGTGTGTTTATGTAGTTGTTTCGTTACGTGTGCCCAAGTTTTGCGGAGAAGAAAAACTATTTGTTAACTACCCGGTAAAGCTGTCGTTTCTCAAAAAAGATTTGTAATCGCGTATACACATGACAATGTTCCGTTGCCCATTTTCTTTTTTTTTTTCCTTTTTCTCTTTTTTTTTTTCTTTTTTTTTTTTTTTTCTTTTCTAAATCGCCTTCTGCCTTTTCCACCTTTGTCACCTATAACCTTTTCCTTTTCACGTTGTTTCTCTCTTACTTGTCCTCCATCCTGTTTCCTTCGTCACCCTCGATTACCTTAGTTCACTCTGTTTTCTCCACGCTTTTGCTGGAACTCGTGATCGTTCCCTCCGGGCGGTCCGAAACAAGCAAAAGAAAGAAAAACGAAAACACGTGATCGTACCAAACGCCGCGGCCGAGTATGATCTGCCGTTTCGGAAACACTTTTCTTTCCCCCCTCCCATTTGACAACCTTCGTTTTTCGTTCTCTCCCCACCGACGACGACAAAATTTCCACATTTCTGTTCCATCAATTTTCAATTTCTTCTACCCGAGTGTTGCCAATTCGCTTTAGTTTCGTTTCCACGGCAATGAACGGACGCGCCGCGCCGCCCCAGACATGTTCCCTCTCATCGAACACGTCTTTCCGTACTTCCCCGATTATTTCCTTCCTTCCTTCTTACTTCTACGAAAAGAAAAACTCTTTACAACTGGCATTTCGTTATGCTTTGCACCTCACCTTTCTTTCCTCTACTTTTCTCTTCTTTTCATTCTTTTTTTTTTTTTCTTTTTCTTTTAAAATACGCTTAAGTTACCTAGTAACATTATTCTCACTAGATACATCGCCGTGCAAAGGGGGAAACGCGTTCGACGACGTTCTCCGGAGAGATAGCTTTATCATCGTCATCTTCTTCTTTTTCTTTTTCTTTTTTTTTTTCTCTTCTCTTCGCCTTTTTTCTCCCCTCAAACTCGAGGATTGGATTCGTGCCGAACGCTCGCCTTCACGCGGCCCACTTTCCACGACAATATTTTACAGCCAATCGAGATAAATTTCGACGCGGGACCATCGTACGCGGTGCCGCCTCAATTAATACCTAATTTTAATTCTTTCTCATTAAGGCTAGATCACGCGAATTTTATTTTACACTTTCTCGCACGAATACTGGTTTTGTATCAGTCGCACATTTTCCTATTCCAGCCTGGCCCATTTGTTTCGTTTAGTCGACGAAGCCTTGCCGCGAGGCCGATTTCCCCCTTTCCTTGCTTCGCTCGTTTCTCCCTCATCACTTTCACACGATCGTCGCGGCAAGGCATCGTCGACCTTAACACCTGGATCAGGACTGTATGTGTATGCGGGTTAATGCCAGTTGCACGCTTCCTCGGAGACGAATTTCACATGGTGCGGAGGAGGGGCAGCACGTGCTCTTCCGCCGATATCGAGCTCGCATCCATTCGTTTAAATGCTCGGAGAAAATAAATGCTACGGTCGACTGACCGTCACCCTCACAGCTACAGCTTCAACGGAAGAAATAACGCCGAGAGAGAAAGCGCTTCGCTTCGAGGAGGAATGTTGGCGAATGTTACAAAAGAAAGGGGCGGGGGGGGGGGGGGTGGACGTAAAATCAAAGAACGACTTGAAGCGGAAGCGCACGTGTTTTTCTTTTTTTTTCTCTCTCCCAATTCGTCTCCTCGTCCGCTATTCGGCGAGACGATTGACACAACTTCGCGGGGAAACAAAACCGCGTTTTTCCCCTTTTTCTTTCTGAATCTGAATGTCGACCATCGTCTCGTTTCCCGGAAGCCGTGGCAATCGGTCGATCGAACTTTCGCGTCGCATCGTTAACACATTTCAAACATTATAACCTCACAACCATTTTGATAACAATCAACCTTCAACAAAAGAGCGTTCCTACTTCAAAGAATCTTTAAAAAATGGCGCCAGCCGGCGAATCCACTGCCGGTGCAACGCGTCACTCGGGAGTTGTTTCCCCTCCATCAACGGTTTTTCAGAAAGCACGCTCTTCTCCCGCTCGGTGGCGGTCGTTCCCCGACAACCGGAAGTCAATCCTGCTGGCTGACGTATCACATGTTTCAAAGCTGCGAACCACGTACTTGCGATTTGTTCGTCACTCGCCGCTCTCATTCGCTCGCAATTCGCTCGAACGCGACTGAAAAGAATGCCCAAAGTATGTCTTTTTTTTTTTTTTTATTCTTCCCTCTTTTCTCTCTTTGCTTCTCGCTCAACCATCACACCAGTCGCTTCCGTCGACCTCTCGAGGACGCGTGCGCCGACCATTCTCGCGCCAATTTTCGTCAACTCGATCGATCGCTTTTAACGAATTAACATCTTCGTTCTGTCGGCCGATGAAACTGAGATTCCCCGATCGTTTCAAGAAATTCGCAGACGCTAGACAAAATGGCGGCAATTCTCAGCTGCGTGGATTTTGCTTCTCTCGGATGTTGCACTCGTCACAACTCGTATCCGGTGCGACTACAAGTTTAACAAGAACATTGAGAAGTATTTTTTCTTTAACGTGATGCAAACATCTCCGTGAGAAACGCTTACTGTCCTTTCGTCAACCATTTCGACTATAATTTACTTCGACCTAAAGGAAACGAGACAATCGTTAAAAATAGAAAATGAAAGTAGAAAATTTTTACAAATAGTATACGCGCAGTAGTACTCATTTTTCATACAGTTTTACGTTTCAACAGATCTCGACGAAATACACATCTTTCGCAAATATAAGTTTCTAAGAAAATTTCAACGATCTGCGAAATTTTATGAACAACCAAGTAAAGAATCGTCGCCGATTGCGGACCGTAACGAGCGACCAAACCGTATATGATATTATATTGGATAGAAATTTTGCCAATATTTGTTTTACTTAAATGTACTCAAAACCGGGGAAAATATTACAATTCCGAAACATTTCAGCGCAAGTGGTTAATCTTGAAAGAATTGGACTCGAAATCCGCGAGCGATCGTCGATAAATTCCATTTGCAATTCGATCCGCAGATTACAAGTAACAAAATCGTTCGAAAAGGAATTCCTTTTGCTCTGGTCGGTGCACGCGACCTTGCCAACCAAGTCACGTCATTCGCTATCCCATCGGGCTCAATACCGATCCTCGCCTCCACGCGGCACGATCGTTTCGAGCTAACGTCTCCTCGTACTCGAAACGATCGCCGGACGATCGGCGACGAGAGTTCCTCTCGCCCACGATCGTTTGCGACCAACAGAAGTAACGTTACTGATTGCACACGATTTAAAGAAAAAAAGAAAAAGAAAAAAAAACAAACACGTCGATTTAAAAACACCAGCGATCGACGCTCGGCCAATCGCGCGCCACGATTACGCGTGTTCCGCGTCTCTCGTACGTGCAACTCTTATTTTTAATACACGCGTTAATCGACTGTTCACTGCCCGATCGAAGCGTATATATCGATATATATATATATATCTCGTATGCGATACATTGGTCTAGCGTATTTCGTAATTGTAATCTTTCGACGAAAAAATTGGTCTATCGATGTACGATTGTTAGATACGTGGTGTTTAATCGTCTGTGTGTGTGTTCGTGTCCGTGTGCTTCATTCCGCGTATTTTTATTTATATCGATTACGAATAAACCGTAGGCATATCTGTTGAATACATTTGCATGTACATGTACATGTGTGTGTGTGTGTGTGTGTGTGTGTATCGATGTAGAAGGTACAGATTTAATATTACGTGTTTCGTTTGATGATCGATCCCGCTTGTATTTCCCCCCTCCCACAAACGAGCTCTCTATCCCGCGTCGTTATCCTCGCGAAACGGGTGAAAAAAAAAAAAAAAAAAAGGAAAAGCCTTCGAAACGAAAGAAGAAGACGACGACGACGACGACGACGACGATGATGACGACGACGACGACGATGATGACGACGAATGCGCGAGCAACCCGGCCGGTGAAGAGAGTAAAAACTGAGAGAAGAATGGCTGCCTAAGTCGGAGAAAAAAGGGCCGGTGATTCTCGCTCGCACGTGGACGTAAGGGGCTGTGTACCGTGGACGAACTCAAAGGGCCCCCTAACCTGCCCCCCTCCGAGTTACGATCGAACGCGACACACGCCGCGTTTTCTTCCATATTTTCCTGTCTTTCCTCCTTTCCTTTCTCTTTCCATTTCTTTTCTTTCCTTTCCTTTTCTTTCTTTTGTTCCTTCGCCCGGCAGCAGCGGCCTCCGCGATATCAATAATCGTTCAACGAGATAATTAGCGACGCGTGCACCGCGCGCGCGTCGCCGCCGCCGCCGCCGCCATACTTTAAATCTATATATATATAGATATATTTATATGTATATATATATATATATATAAACGACAGCGCCTACCGCCATAAGAATGACCGATAATCGATATATAATCATCGCGGTGTAAACAATAAATGGCGACACGTATATCGAGAGGTCTCGTTTATTTATAATATATATCTATGTAACGCTTTGGACGCGCCCTTTTTCTTTTTTTCTTTTTCTCCTTCTTCTTCTTCCTCCTCTTCTTCCTCTTCTTCTTCTTCTACTTCTTCTTCTTCTTTTTTTTTTTCTTTTTTTTTTCTCTTAAACTCCTCCCTTTCGATACGAAACGATAATATATAACTGTAAAATCCATGTGGAATATAAAAAATATTCTCTTGACGTTTCCTACCTAACTATATGAAACACTGCGCTAAGACTGTATACTTCGTTACGAAACTCGTATATGCACTGACGCGCGCGCGCGCGCTCGCGCGCTCGCGTGTCTATCTGTTTGTCTGTCTGTCTGTCTGTCTGTCTGTCTGCGTCTCTCTGTGTGTGTGTGTATGTATGTATGTATGTATGTATGTATGTATGTATGCACGTGTCGCGTGTGTTTTCCTCTCGTGTCTTCGTATGCTTTCGCGTGTGTGTACGTGCCTCGCGATGTATCCAAAGTGTATGCGTGTGTGTGTGTAGCGTATTCGTGTTCCGTCAGCTTTGCGTACGATCTTTCTGCTCGAGCTTACGCGATTAGTGTTACGTTCTAATAAGAGGCGAGGGCAACCGTGCCGGTCCAGAGCGATCGGTTGGGAATGCATCATCGTTTTCTCGCGCCCGTCCTCCGAGATCTGTCGTTCCTCCATTGATCGGTGTCTCACGAAACCCGGAGTGTGTGTTGTGTGTGTGTGTGTGTGTGTTTTTGTGTGTCTCTTTCTCTCTCTCTCTCTCTCTCTCTCTCTCTCTCTCGCGGAGAGATCGCGCGGGGATGGACCGTTCCGGCCGCGCCTCGGCCCGCGTACAAAACGTCTCTTAATTCTACGGGGCGGGGGTGGTGAGAGATATGCCGCTCGAACGAAAACAGAGTTACTGAAACGTGGATAGGTAGGGACAGGTGTTGAAATACGTACGTAGAGCGTAAATGTACCGAGGATCGTTACTCTTACTAACGCGTGCGAATGTATTTCGCCTTGTACTTGACGAGAAGAGTGAATGAGATGAGAGAGAAATGAAACTTAACACGTCGTTCGCTGGATCGATCGATCGATCGACCCGCGCGTCGGGAATACATCGGTACATGTCAGACACACTGGAAATACATAGCGTCTCTATACACGGGGCTACCTAAGAAACAAGGTTCCGGCGAGATTTTATTTTAAACGATTACACGCCGCGATCTTTCGCTCATCACGTTTGTTGTTTTCTTTTTTTTTTTTTTTTTTCGCGCGACGAGACGTTTAAAAAGACTGGCTCTATTGCGATCGGACGAGTGTTCAACGAGTTTCGTTTCGTTTCTTCCTCGCGACAGATCTCCGGATTGCAACGCGAAACACAAAGTGAAAGATGCGACGCGGGAAACCGGTGCCCTTTGCCGCGGAACAGATTTTGCCCCACCGATTTGTCCGAGGTGTCCGAGTTGAAAGACACTTGGCTCACCGACGCGACTCCAACTGTCTCATCTCGCGAGTTTCGTTCGTTCGCGGGAGTCGCCGTCTTGTTGAAACCTCGACTCGAAAAGGGGTGGGAAAAAAAAAAAAAACAGTGTGTTTCGCCGGTTAGGGGTTTGGTAAGTCGGTAAGTTTGTGTGTCGTAATCGCAGCATATCGTGGGTGATCCGGTGTGTGTTTGTACGCGCGTATATGTGTATGTGTGTGTGTGTGTGTGTGTGTTTGTGTGTATGTATGTTGATGCATATAATATCTACGCGGTATGTACAAGGTTGATTTTTTTTTCTTTTCTTTTCTTTTCTATCCGACGCTCGGCGAACACCGCGCCCCGGATGCCGGTGTCCGCGCGATTTATGCCCAAATTGGATGCACGGGTCGATGAAACTAAGTCGCCGTGGCGAAAGCAGCGCGATGAGGCCGCGATCGCGATCGCGAGCTCGATGAAACGATGAAGAAACGCTGGAAATCCGAGAGATCCTCGCGGAATGTTTTCAAGTGTTCGCTCGTTGAACTGCTCGTTACTGGCACGGTCGATGCGCATCCGAGATGCGTGAATGCCCTCTGTTCGCCGATCTGTGCTCGTTGCTCGTTTACCGCCGCGACGAAAGAGAAAATAAGGGAAAGGTGGGAAGAAATTAAAAGAGAAGAGCGGCGAGCGAATCAATCGTTTCGGCGTCGCGTATTTCGCGGGCATGCGCGGATATTTACGAGGCTCGTTTTCCACCGTTTCGTCGCGTCGATATTCCTCTCCCCTTCCCCCCCTGCGTGTTTCAGCGACCGTCGAATGTCTGGATCAGACGTAAGAAAAAAAAAAAAATTTCTTTTTCACGGAAGATCTCCTTTCCTTTCTCTCCGATTTTCATCGACGAAGATACTCGCGGAAGGAGAGAAACGTCGAACGGGGTGAATTTAGGCGATCGTGAAGAATAACAGCGAGACAACGATAACAATCGGCGACGAAGCGAAATGGACTAAAAAATCGGTGCTGTTTGAGGCTTTTCTCTCTCTTTCGCGGCGCGTTGCTCGATTCCCGAGAGCTGTAAGTACTTTGAACGAGTGGAACGAGAGAGGAAGAAACTCGATAGAGCCAGAGGGGGTGAAAAAGAAAAAGGAAAAGAAGCTAACGACGAATGGGAGGTGTTGACGGCGCGGAGATGCGATAAGAAAACAGGCAGTAATCTACGACAAGGAGTAACAAGAAACAAAAGATTACGAATTGCACTTGGGTTGGTCCTGGGCTCGCGAGCCTCGCGTTAATTGAAAAAGTATCAGAGAAATAGAAAATGGAAAAAGACACGCTACGATAAAAAAAAAAAAAAAAAGGGAAGAAGACGTATGCACGTACGTACAAGAAACTGATTAAATGTACAATGCGTTTTTCGCTTGAAATTAATTAAGATGATCTTTACGAATACGTAAACGTGATGATGATGATGATGATGACTACGATACTGGTCTAATAATAAAACGATGACGACGATGACTCGAGAACGCGCGCATAAGGACTGGATGATGATAACGATATTAATGATTTAACGATTCGCGATGATAATGACAACGACGATGGGAAAGATGAGGATGATAATGGTAAGTACTACGGTAGATTAACCTATTAACAAACGCACGATTGTGTTCGCTTTAACGCAGACACGCCCCACGTATTCCGCGTACATATATATATATATATATATGTATCTATGTATGTATGCACACAGGTAAATGCTTTTCTCGACAGTCATCTACGTTTGATGGAAATTTCTTCGTTTTTTTCTCTTTAGTTATTCTTAAAAACGTAGTTCTAAACGCGATTAATAATAGAGGATAGTATTTCTAACGACAACGATATAACGTGCGTGCGTGTCTGTATTTCACCGCGAACATATGCCCGTCGAATTCACAGACTCTCTCTCTTCTCTGACAACGATAGCAATAGCAATAATAATAATAATAATAATAATAATGTAGCGGTAATAATTCTACTAATAAGAGCAAATAATAAAAGTAATGATGTAACTGTCAATGTTAATAAAAATATCGATCCTAATCTTCTGAATGATAATAATAGTAGTAATAATAATAATAATAATAATAATAATCGTAATGATAATCATGACAAACGTAACAAGCAATTAATACGCGTAGTTAAATCAATGTGTCTCGCCTCGTTAGCGTTACACGTACAGAGCTAAGCGGAACAAGCACTTTGTCATTGCGACGACAGTCGTCGTAATCAGAGATAGATAAAAAAAAAAAAAAAGAAAAATTAATACACATTCGTCGGAACGAGATTTAAGTATGCCCTATTTGCTCACCGGCGGTACAAGGATGAACGGTTGAAAAGAAGAAGAGGAGGAGGCCTCGCATTCGCGAAAAATTCGAAACGACGAAACAGGGAGGGGGGAGTGGATTTTGCAAAGCCTCTGCCGCGTAGAGAGCACTCGAACTTTTCGTACTTGCGAACGAAAAAGGGGAACAAAAGAGAAATCGCCGGGCTCGCGCGCAACTTTTCCTTTATTTTCTCTTTAACCTGGTGTTTCTTTCTTTCTTTCTTTCTTTTTTTTTTTTTTGTATCGAAGAGCGTTCCCGCGGTCTTTCTCACAGCCACGCTACGCGGCTCTCAGTACGACGATTTTCGAGAACGTTTCACGCCCCCCCACCCTCCCCCCCTCCCCCCGTCCCTCCCGCGCTGCTTTCCGACGATCATCAAACGACGTTCACCGCAAAATCTCGCGTTCCCCTTATAATTCATTCTCCCTTTCTCTCTTTCTTTCTTTCTTTTTTTTTTTTTTCGTTTTGTTTTGTTTTGTTTTTAAGAGCATATAAAAAGTCGTGTGGCACATTGACGGTTGGAATGTTATCATTGTTTTCATTAAATTTATAATAAGAATCATAATAATTAATAATAGTAGTAATATAGTACTTCTTTGTGTTGTTAATAATATTTCTTTTATGTATGTTTAATAATTAATTAATTAGTTAATAATTAATATAATAATATATATTTATATATATATATATATATAATATATATATATATATATATAATATGTACCTTTTTTTTTCTTTTCTTTTCTCTTTCGTTTACTATAGTAGTTTGTTTTTTTTTTTTTTTTTCCTCTGCACTTTATATTCTGCGCTGACTGCGGGTTTTGATTTGAGGGGACTTTCACCCGGTGCCGATTCGTCCGACGCCGCCACCCACTGGGTCCGATACTCGTCGATCTCGTTTCCACGACGAGCCGACGACGAGCCGACGATGGCCCGGCCACCGGGCGATCCTTTTATTATTATTTTTTTTATGCTTTTTTCTTTTTTCCTTATTTCATTTTTTTCTTTTTTTCTTTTTTCTGCGTTGCCCGTCGCGGCAATCCGCTCGTTTCGCGTTGATCAATCACTGCTTGCTGGAGTAATGTGAGATGTATTTTAGAGATTGTAGATTTTTTTAGCTTGTACTTGCTGAGAACACGGATGCACGGCGATCGGTGTCGCGGCGTGCCCGGCTCAGACAGAGAGAGATGTCTATTGTTGTGTGTTTGCAATTGTTCACGGTGCCCCGGGTGAGTATGCAACCCGTGGCACGCGGTCGCAGGGAAAACGATCGGACGTTTGGCGACGCCGCCGGGCCCGACCGAACGTCCACCGACGTCCCTTCGTCGTGCTATCGCTCGAGTCGATTCCCTTTCGCTCCTCACGTGGTGGACACCAACCACGCTCCGTAAACGAGCGGTCTTCTTCTTCTTCTTCTTCTCTCTCCCAAGACACACACAGAGACAGAGAGAGAGAGAGAGAGAGAGTGAGTGAGAAAACGGAGCAGAGGAAAGGCGCACGACGTCGGGTTTTCCGGCTGGCGATCCGTCACGAACGCACCCCGCTTCAAACTGTAAGGAGACGACTGGTATCGGGAGGCTGCAATATTGTTGTAGCTGTATGTATAGAAAGCAGACTGCGTGTTATTACTGTGTATACACTTCTGGTGTTCGTATTCAGCGTGTCACTGAGTGTGCGTGTGTGGTCGGAGATATGCGGGTGAAATTTCTTGTCAAGAAAGAGTTGCGTTTTTGCTACAGGTTGTCCGGAGGTGGGGGTTGCTCGTGTGGATGGATGACGATCTGTCCAAGTGGGATTTCGGAGTGCGGAGGGATCGGAGCGATTGGGGGATCCTTTTTTTTTTTTTTTTTTTCTTTTTTCAAAAAATCCGATTTCTTGGATTCTTCTTTCAGTTTTCAGCTTCTTCTTCTTCTTCTTCTTTCTCTTTTTTTTTTTTTTTCTTGTTTTTCTTAATCACCTTCTTGCCCTTAATTACCTCTTTCGCTTTCGACTCGATTACTCTTTTTAAACTTTTTTTTTTTAAAAATCTTTGTAGCGCATCGGAACGCGCCCGGCCCCGTCGCGACAGTTTTTCTTTTTTTTCGGCGGGACGCGTGAGAGCCGTCGAGGCTGGAAAACGACGTGGACGGCCGGAGCTCGAGAAAAATGGCGAGCGAAGGAAAAAAAAAAAAAAAAAAAAAAAAAGGAAACGATGGAGACGCGCTCGAGAACGGTCGGCTCCTCGAAGAGGTCTCTCGTATACGTATACCGCGTCGCACGGGCGACGTCTGTTTTGATTGATTCACCGGCAGTTCAGCAGTACTTGGTCCGTAACTAGTTGGTCGTACTTTGAAGTTCCGGCGCGTGCGATTCCAGAGTGATTTTTGGTACAAACAAGTTTGATTGAAACACCGAGCCAGCCGCCGCTCTCTATCGAACGTTTCTCTCCGAAATCCGGGTCCGTTTCATTTCTCGCCGATTCGCGAGGTGTTGACGTACACATTGACGTTCGCGTGGGGTTTTGTCGATCGATAAAAAAAGAGAAGAAGAAAGAAAAATGGTCCTTTTCTTTTCGCTCTCTCCCTCACCGGTGGTTCGTGCCTTGTACGTTTCCAGCCTTGACGTTTTGACGCGGCGAGGCCGGGCTTACACAGCGACGATATATATATATATATATATATATATATAGAAAAAGAAAACGGAAACGAAAACGATAAACGACACGATATACAAACAACTAAAGCGCCAAACTACGAGTACTACCGGTGCTAACTACGTAGTACCAGCGCCATTTCTTTCCTTCATTTTCTTCCTTTTTTTTTTCATTTTTTGTTTGTTTGTTTGTTTGTTTGTTTGTTCTCCCTAACGCCTAACCTAGTCGAAAAGTCCAGGCATAGTCAGTGTGGTGACCGACCGCCTCCGATCTGGCCCGCCACCATCGCGGAAATGAGATCCGCGACCGACGAGGACGCATCGCTCTAAGCCGCAAACAAGACCCGACTCAGTACGCTCCTTAAACCTCGAAATAGGAACATGAAAGTAATTTCGATTCGTATATATGGAACAAGAAGTAATTGTACTTTAAAGAATACATCACCTTTTGGATGGACGAATAATACCTTTGTTTCACGAACTTCGTTTTCACCCGTTGACGCTCGTACGGACACACTCTCTCTCGCAGCGGCGATCGCGCGCTCTTACTTTCCTCAATTACTCCCCCCTTCCGCCGCGCCGCTGGAAACACCGAATTTCAACCGAGTCCAAATCCGCCGACGCGAACGATCGCTCAACGATGGAAAAAAAAAAAAAAAAAAAATTATTCCACGAAACACGTCCGGTGAAGAAGCACCGACCGATCGCCAGCTGGTGTTCGAATCGAAGTGCACCCATCGGCCGCGCGTAAATCTTAGCCCGCGTCGAGGCTCGTCGTCGCGAGATAAAACTGTCGCCGCGATATACGTATATATATATATATACGTGTGTGTAGAATGGAAAAAGATCGTTTACCGTGGCAGCGAGAACGGATGATTTCGCGTAGCTCGTTCATTCCCAGCTGTCGCGCGAGAGCTCTGCAAAGAAATCGCTGTCAGTCGCAATACGAGGAGGCTCCGCGATTCGGGCTGATGTCGGAGGCGCGGTCCAGCACTGGCTTTCCCCATTCTCGCGCTCGAATTCTTCCAACTTTCTATCTTTCTTTCTCTCTTCCTTCCTTTCTTTCGTAGTTTCCTTCCTAATTTTTTCTCTTTCTTTCTTTTTTTTCTTTTTTTTTTTTTTTGTTCGTCGTATATCTATCTACCCTATCTATTTAGAGTCCTTCCTTTGCGCGTGCGCCGCCCGCGCACGGGTTCACGCGGGCGACGCACGTGCGTACGCGTTAGAAGTTTTCCTGGTTAATTGTAATCGGTGACCCGAGGAGCCGGACGTCGAGTCGACGCCTCCGTTCGACTTGTTCGCCCATTCTTTTTTTTTTTTTTTTGAACACAAATCGGCAAGTTTTAGCGTGTCGCGTATACTTCGAATTCGCGAAAGACTCGCCCCTCCCCTCTCTTCATCGTTTCGCGGAGGGGCGGCCTCGCGCCATTTACAGTCAGTTCTCCCGTGACTAGAGCCTACGAATTAACGAGCTTATTAAAGCCAATTAGAAAGGTACCAAATCTCGTGACCACGTCACGGTCTCTGCGGTAATGCTACTTTCCACTACTCTCGTCCGCCTCCTTTCGACCATCCGTCTTCTCGCACGCGTCGCTCTTCGCCACTTTTCATCCCTCCTCCTCCTCCTCCTCCTCTTCTTCTCGACGATCCAGTTCGAATCTCAATTTTGTATTTTGAGAATCCGCGAAACACATTGGCGAAAAATGGCGCGAACGGTTGGAGGACGGTGTGAAAGTACGGCGTGTCACGTATTTGTCGTCGAATCGACGTCGGCTGCTTCTTGCAGTGTATGCGAGTACGTGTAACCTGTTTAATGTGTGTTCGTGTATGCGTGTGTGTGTCTGTGTGTGCGTGTGTCCTTATGTGAACGACAGGCCAGCTCTTCGTTGATCACGAAAATCCCAACATTCGAGAATGCGTGAATTGAAAATAGAATTTAAAAACACGGTAACCTAGCGCGTAACAGTTCGTTTTTTCATTATTTTTCTTCGACGTGTCTGTGTATGACGTGTACGTGCATGCGAGTCGAAGAGTGTGTGTGTTGTACGTGTACGTGCGTGTAAAGTGTGTGTGGCGTCAGTGTACCTAATTGCACTTATTCGACAAAACGGAACGTAAATGTGAACGCAAGATGGCGGCCGGACGGCCCTGGAACGTATATATACGGAGGTAATATACTTTTAAAATTTAGCTTAAAGGTCGCCCATCCCCTTTTTCTCGTTTTTCTTTCTTTTCTTTTCTTTTTTTCTTTTTCTTTTTTTTTTTTTTTCTTTTTGCCTCTGTCCTCCTATCGTTGAACCAACCCCCACCATAGAACTAAAACTTCAGTTTGCTGCTACGGTATTACATTCGTCGTTCGTTCTGTTTGCGAGTCGTAAAAACGTAACGTCGAAACTTAGGCACAATTTGGAACTGTTTAGACCATTTCTACACGACCCCCCACTCCGACGGATCATTCGCGCGTGTTCCACCGTTCGAAAGAGAGAAACTGACCGACCGATCATTTCCACGTCCGTTCTCCCAAATTTTTGCAAAACATTTTCTCGCCCGAGTTCAAACGGCTCGATTCGACAATCGATTCGGCAGTTTCCACTTTCTCGCTTTCCTTTTCCTTCGAATTAGTTGCAAATCTTTCGCCTCGACAAATAAATCCGCGAGAGAGAACGTCCCGACGGAAACGGCCGTTTCAATTTTGCCCTCGACGAGCAAACCCATACCAAACGTGACGATACTCTGTGAGGTAGCTGACATTGAGCCGTTTCAGGGCCAATCGGACCAAATCTTCCAGTTTTCGGGAACCCGAGATGATTGCTCTGCCGACAGACGAGCAGAGGAAAACGAAAATTGTACAATTATACACGTAGAAAAACGGTTCAATTTTGACAAAGATCGAGAGCACTCGACGCGAACTGCAAGTCCAAGCGTTAAAGGACAATTTGTTCTTGTCCCTTCTCGCTCTTGTTTCGTCCCTCCGCGTTTAATTTTAATGTGGGTGGGGGGGAGGGGCGAGAAGCAGAAGCCGCTCGTGAATTTGTTCCATTTGTTTCTGGGGTAAAGCAGAAGACGCGAAAGACGAGTAACGGAAAAAAAAAAAAAAAAAAAAGAAAACAAAATATGGAAAAGCGAAACGAAAAAAACTTGAGAATCTTTGGGCCCGACTTTCCGAGCAATGCCCGCCATCTTGGTCCCGTCTGACCACCGGTGTGGATAAACGTAATCTCGCGATCTCGCTTCTCCCGTATTTTTGTATTTCATCTTTTGGTTTTTCACTTTGTTTTGTTTGTTTGTTGGCTTTCAATTCGCTCTCTCTTACTCGCCACTTTTTGTCTCCACACACCGTAATTACAATAGTATTTTCGCTCTTCCCTTTTTCTCCCTTTTTCCTCGTTTTCCTTTTTTTTTTCTCTCCTTTCCCCTTTTTATATCCGTAATCTTACACATATACACTAGCTGGTTACAATAATTTGTGAAAAATATACATCAAAATTTTGTTACTTTTTACATCACAGATATTTTAATATAATATATCTTCTTTTAATTCTTAAAGATTTCTTTTTTTTCCTCCCCGTTTTTCTTTTTTTTTTTTTTTTTTTTTTTTTTCTTTTCATCGTTCTACGTTCGTGTCTCTTTTATCCACACTGTGTGTTTTTCTGTCCACATGTTGTACTCTCCTTGCGTGGTGTACGACGTCTCAAACATTCGTACGTTCGTATATTCGCATACCACTGTCTTTAAAACGTGTGTACACTATATATATTTATATATGTATGTATAAATCGGAAAGATCGGAGCGTGAACAGTGACCGTTCTTGACGCTGATCTGTTAATCTTAATGTTTTTTCTCTTACTTCAGATTTGTTTCGTTTCTTTCGTTTGTTTTTTTTTTAAATTATTTTTATTTTTATTTTTTATTTATTTTTCTTTTTTTTCTTTTTTGGAGTTTGTTTTTGTTTCTTTTTAAATGGCTAGGAATAGGATCGTTATTGCTGTGGCAATGGCGGTCACGGCGAGCTTGCAAGTACCTCCAGCGGAAGTAACTATATTGTCGTCCACATTGAGGCCCGTAGATTCTGAATGATAAAAAGTGACTTGTAGAAGGATCGTTTTTTCTCGTTGTGTCTTGAATATTTTACTTTTTTTTTNTATTTTAATATAATATATCTTCTTTTAATTCTTAAAGATTTCTTTTTTTTCCTCCCCGTTTTTCTTTTTTTTTTTTTCTTTTTTCTTTTTCTTTCTTTTTCGACCAATCCGTCTCTCGCCGGATCGTTTCAGCGTATCGCCCGCGACGTAAAAGGAGACGGCTGGAAACGTACGGAACGCGAAATCGCCTCTCGTTCGTTTTCACGCGATGCACGCACATTTCATGTTCTTCCGTGTGAATGAATTTCGCAAGCGACCCGATTTCTAATTTTTGTCCAGCGATTTCGAGAAAGCCGATACACCGCCACCCACCGGTGGCCGCGTCTTTAATTCCGCGCCAATTGGACTTCTCGTTCTCTGTCCTGCCGTCTCCCTCGAAGAAAAAAAAAAAAAAAGAAAAAGAAAAAAAAAAACGGAAAAAAAAACAACACGTGAATCGACACCTTTCTTTCATTTTGTTTCCTACAGTCGCGTTGGCAACGATATCTGCCCTAGCCTATGCGGCCTCGTTTGCTTGCAACCCTAATCGTCCCCTTTTCTTTTAGAAAAAACGAATTTCGATAGAGAAAATTTTTCCTAAAATCGCTAACGATAACCGACGGACAGAGAGTCATCCGTCCGTATACGCCGATAATGTTCAAGAATCACAGAACGTTGTCCAATCCACACTTCTTGCTTGCTCGCTGGGCGAGTGCCTGCCCGTCAAAAAATAGAGAAGCATCCTTCTTTCTTTCTTTCTTTTTTCTCTTTTTAACTATTTCTTTTTCCTTTTTTTTTTTTTTTCTCGTCCCTTTTCTTCCTTTAGAAAACGTGTTACCCTCTTATTTTCACGCGTTTATTTTGCCCTCGGTTTAATACCAATCGGTTTCTCTCCCCCCCCCCCCCCCCCCC